TTATGAGCTCATTTCTTTCCACGACTCTGGTTGCACACTGAATTGGATGAGAACCACATGACATTTCCCTGTAAGGTCAACGTGGAACCTAACTTGAATTGGATTCAGTTCTTGTCCAATTTAGTTCACAGCCAGAAGCGGGGAAAGAATTAGGTTCATGAACCAAGACACCACTGTACAAATAAAAGCTGAATTGCAAAAACGTGGGTATCCAGATACGTTTGTCTCTTTTAAGAGAATCCTATTAATTCTTAGAAAACCCTATTTATCTTGCATACTAAGTATCTTTTGTTGTCAAGCCAGGGATTTGTTTTTTTTTTTTTTTTTTTTTTTTTTTTATTTAAGAGGAAAAAGAGAAAAACACAAAACAAAACAAAGCAGTGTAAGGTTACACATAATACATAACTACAAAAAAAAACATAACAGTAAGAAATCACCTGTTAATAGATTACATAATATCATCTTGGAAATAGTTGCTCAAATCACAGTATCAAAGAATACAAAGTAGACATTCAAACGGAGAGACTGCAAACAGCTGTGTTCAATGATCCAAAAACATTAATATAGTCAGCTATTTAACATCCCTAAACACACTTGTTGTTATATCCGTTAGAGCTCTTTTTTTTTCCCCTCCCTCTCTTTTTTATAACAAAATTTATACATTTTGGATTTTATTACTCCTCAGTTCTCATTACTGTCTTGGGGGGGAGAGAATAAAGTCAAATATGGCAAAACAAAGCTGTAAGTCCAAACCAAGGATAGACATAGCACATGATGTAGAACAGAGTACAAGGTCATCAACAATGGTTATCAACATTGTCTCTTGTTTCCTTAAAAGGAATTGTCCATCTCATTAGATATTATAAAGCCGGACAAAACAGTGGAGAACAAGACCAATAAAACTTAGGCATTGTGAACATTACAGGACTTCCAAAGGAGACAATAGTCAAACCAGAATGGGCATCTTTGTGAATCTTATTGCCTTCAAATTAGTTGCCTATACCCTCAAACTTGATACTATCGCACAGAATGGAACAGAGTCTAATCAGTCAAAACAAGATCTTGGGAGTATTACAGGGATTTGTTAATAGGAAGCATTTTGTTTATAACTAGAGAAACAAAGCCTTAAGCTCATTTCAGGTAGATTATAGAAGGCAACAGAGACATGCACGTTTTATAAAAATCATATTAGCATTAACATTTATCAAGCTTGTTTTTTTCCCTCCAATTGAGTGCAGCAAGGTTTCCTTTCAGGAAACCTTCACTGAAGTTAAGAATGACCTTACTGGATTTTAATTAAAAGCCATAATCACAAATTGCTCACACAGAGTAGAAATTTTCTGCACAGATACAATGACATATGGTATTTTGTGTATGTCAAAAACCCTTATCTCTGCTCAACTGGAGGGGCTAACCCTATCAGTATTCAAAACAGCACATAAACCACTATTGTGTTATTCTCACCATTAGCATTTTTATTGCTTACTATGACATGGGGCCTAGTAAATGCTCTGGGTATTAAATGTCATCTTCTTGACAGTCATGAAATGAGGATGATCATCGCGTTACACACAAGGAAACCGAGACGCAGAGGCTATGCACTGAGCTGGCTCATTTAAAAGTCATGTCCTTGCATCTCCACCCTAAAGGTCAGCACGACTGTCAGCAATGACCAGAAGGGAGTCAGCACCCAGTAAGGGCTTAGAAGGAAAGTTCTCTTCTGTTGAGGGCTGGGGAGATGAGGCTCTTTGCTTAGGTACATGTGGAAGCTGTTTAGATACAAACACCCAGACGATGGTGTGAATAGGGCAGGTGCAGGACGGGCAGGTGAGAAGAGGAGGGGGTGAGGCAGTATCAGGGGCCACTGTGCAGATTTATGGACAGTCAGATGGCGTCCTACACCCTTAGTGTCTGGGTCTGAAGGCCTGTGCTATGCTCTTGTTCTCTTTATAACCTTGGGCAAATTACTTCATTACTCCATACCTCCGTTTCGCCATTTGTGAAATAGGGGTTTTTCTACATGTGCAAAGGTCCAAAAAAAAATTAATTGAGTGTTAACAAATCTGGGGGAAAAACCACGGATCTGATTGGGAGACACGGCTTTGTGGAACAGAGTGAAGGAAGCCCAGCGCTGTTGACTAGATGGGCAGATGGGCGGCCACACACCCCATCATTGGAGAGAAAATGCATGTAGTAGCTGTGTGAGGGCCCTGCTGGGAACCTGCCATGCCAGGCCAGGCTCTGCTGCGATCTTACAGCGGCCGGAGACATGCACACACGCACATACTTCCGAGGAAGCCAACAGTGAGATGTAGCAGCATGGTGAAGGAAGATCGGCAAGGGCAGGAAGCCTTCCAAGAAGGCTGAGAGACTCGGTCAAGATCTGGAGAGGCTCCTCTGGTGGTAGCCCATGTTCAGGGTGCGGCAGTCCCCTGGGGAGCCAAGGTGAAGGGGAGCAAGCCTCAGGCCCCTCCAAACCACACAGAACTTCGCTCATAGCAGCCCCCTCGGCTAGTGCTGCTGCAGGTGACAAGCATCTGCGCAGAGCACTGTCTGGTCTGCAGAAAAGCATCCCATGATGAGGCTGGTGCAGAGACGGCAAGGAGAGGTGGCTGGTGGGTCAGGGTGGGGGCTGCAGGTTCTGCAACAGGGCTTCTTGGGGAGTCAGAAGGACAAGAAGAAGTGGGCTGGTGTGAGTAAGCTGCACTTCCATGGGGAGCTGGGGGCTGTACCCAAACACGATATCTGCCATGAGGCAGATATCGGAGATGCAGAAGAGATAGATATGCTCTCAGGAGAGACCCCTGATGGAGAAGAGGGGCTGGGGAAAGCATAGAAGGGGCGCAGCCAGGGGAGGGGGCTGTGCCTGGAGGGAGAAGAGGTCTGCTGGACACAGGTGATACTCGCTGTCCCAAAGGCCATAGATGGGGCCTGGGCATGAACAATCAGAGGACACAAACAGGTTCAGAGTCGGGATACTCGCAGCAGTTTCTGGTCAAAAGCGGAAATTTCTGGTGTTGGTAGCGGTGAGGCGGGATTGCAGGGGTGAGGGAGACATGAGAGGAAGGAACAGAGGTCCTGGAGGTGGGCTGTGAGCCGATGACGCAGGAAAATGGATGGGTCGTGAGACCGCGGTGTGAAGACAAGTAAGTCAGACACAGAAACCAAACCTCATGCGACTTCCCTTATGGGAAAACCACCAAAATACAGATGAGTTAAAAAGTAAAACAGACTTTCTGGAGATGGGGACGGGATCAGGAGAAACGTAAGGGAGAAATGGGGGATGATCAAAAGTGGTCAAGATATGATTATATATAATCACATATATATGAATTTCCAAAATGAATGTAAATATTCTGTACTGAAAAATGCAGAAAATCCAGGATGCACTGAAATAGGAGAATTTTAAATAAAGATAATGTTTGTATCCTTGCAGCCCTGACTGCTTAGGTGGCTACACTGGACATAGGACTGAAGCATGTGAGGTTAAGTGAGGTCACAAGGGTGGGACCCGGATCAGATGGGATTGGTGCCTTTATGAAAGAGCAGGAGACACAGCCCGCTCTCTCTGTCTCGCTCTCTCTGTGTCTCTCCTCTTTCTCAGCCCTACTCTGCCAAGTGAGGACACAGCAAGAAAGCAGCTGTCTATAACCCAGGAAAAGGGCCTTCAGCTGCCCCGTGCTCTGCAGAGCAGTGATGACCGTAGCTAAACTAATTTGTGCGCAGTATTTTGCTCAGGCCGACCATGTCCTGGGCTCCCACGGGTCAGCTCCAGCAGTGCTGTGCTTAGGGCCTTAGAGTCCGAGATGGGAAAAGCAAAGCCTGTCTTTCCATTCATGTTTTCATGTTATTTTTAAAGGCACTGAAGAAGTGTAAGTTTGCTTTTATTAAAGTCAGGATGGTAAAGTTATAATTAGTTTTCTTATATAAATAAATTTAAAATTGAAATGCTGTAATACTTTAATACCTCTATTTTACATTGTTTTCAGTATTTTTCAGCACTTTAATGTTTGGGGGATAAACGCTAATCATTAAAAGTAAACAGCGCTGTGCAGAGAGATTAACACACCTTTTTTTCTTTTGCCTCAGGCTCCAAACTGGTTTGGAAGCTTGCTATATTTTAAAAATTTCTTTTATTATTTTGTCTCTTCTGATTTTCCCTCCTTATTGCTAAAGTAATGCACACTGATTAGAAATAACACTGCACACCACTAACTGAAGAGAGGAGCCAATGGATCACTGGTCACCCCTTTCTTGTGGAAGACACAAGGAGGGTCCCACCTCCTTCCCTCTGCTCGTGGACCTCCAGTGGGACAACAGACCCTCTTCCACCACTCTGGGAGTTGCCCTGGGACAACACTGGCTGTTTCTCACCCCTTCTTTGGGAAGGAAGAGCTGAAAAAGTGGGGCTCAGCCTTCTCTCTCTTTGGAACCCGTTTGCCTTCCAGAAGCTGTGTCCTGGTGAGTTCCACTCTGTTCTGTACGGAGCAGGGGGCAGCGGCACTGCTACCCTGCACTGGTGGCCAGGCAGGAAGTGTGCTGTCCCCAGGGACACTGACCCCTGCTGATGACACAGCTCACACCAGTATGTCTGCACACACAGCCACACACAGAAGGAAGCCACACGACAGAAGATCTCAAATTCCCTAGTTGATGGAAGAGGCCAGATTTCGCCCAAATCACTTTTTCAACCAGATTGCCATATGGCTGACCTCATTTTTGGCCACATTAAAAGACTAGGACCTTTAGTGAGTCTCCTGTAAATAAATAACTTTCACCCTCTACTTCAGTACCGGTGTATTACAGCTCCTGGCTGTCTTGGGTTCTGCTCATCAGCAGGAGTTCTGAGAATGGACCCCAGCCCCAAGAAGACTCTGAGATTCTTCTTTTTTCTTACAGAACCTGAGACACTGAGCTCTGCGCTGTACCCAGGGGTCACTATGTGGATTCAGGGCCGACCCACAGGGGAGTGAAGCAGAGGCTCACGTGCACGTGTGTACCTGGGCATGCTCCTGGCTGGGCACGGCGCTCAGACCTGTTGCTGCCATGTACGTGCTGCCGATGGTCTTGATTTTTTCAACGCCACTGAATTTTGGTTTGGACAGCAGCTGCAAAGCAATGACAGTCCTTCAGTAACTTAGCTGGGTACAGCCTGGAGCAGAACACTCCACATCATTCTCAAATTCTAAGAAATTCACATTATACAAAGTGGATGTGACTCGTTTCCACCACTGTTAGCACTCTCTGACCCTGGGTTTCCTGGACAGAAGACTTTTTCGTAAAAAGTGTAACTTGAAAGGAAATGGAGTACAGTGAGTTACTTCCAATGAACATGAGTTATCTTCCGAACTGCTAGGGATGCACCAGGATAAATTACAGTGCAAGGGGTAATTCCTGATAAAGCTTGAAAGGCACTGATACACACTCATGAATCAGTGAGATTCCCTGCAGATTTGTAGTGTTTTGTGACCAATTATCTATGCTGAGGATTATCAGCTTTGCCTCTTAGTAGTGGAGATGGGAAGAATAAAATCTAAAAGAAGGAGCCTTCCAACCAGATGTGGTGTTGCAAGCCCGGAACTCTAGGAGACGAAGGCAGCAGAATCACCAGTCTGGGCAATTTAGCAGGAAGATGTCTCAAAAAATAAGAAAAGCTGGAGATATAGCTCAGTGTGAAGGCCCTGGGTTCAATCCTCAGCTCCACAAAAGAGGAAAAAAGGAAAGAGGGGAGGAAGAAAGAGAGAAACAAACAAACAAAAAAAACAAAAAAGAAAGAATGGAAGGAAGAAAGAAAGAAAAAAATAAGAAAGAATGAAAGGAAGGAAGGAAGGAAGGAAAAAAGAAAGAAAATGAATCTCTCTCCATCAGCCCGAATGCTAACACTTCTGGTTCAAATAGCTGCTATCAACTTCCCATCTGACTCCTCCTTGATCCACTACTTTAGGCTCTAAGGTGGAGGCAGAAAAGTTATATAGAACAGAAACTTTGAGGAAGAAGACGGCCCGGTGGAAGATCTGGAAAGTTCTATGTCTGCTCACAAAGGCAGGGCTCAAACCGAGGGCACCGACTGAGGCCCAGAAGCATTTCCTTGGCTTTTCCTTAGAGCTGTCATTTTCAGGCAAGATCCTTCCAGACAACGTGTCGAAGGACTGAAGCTAGTTATGTGTCACATACCCATGTGTCCCCTGTCACCCATGGATCCAGGAAAACAGTTATTTTATTGAGGTGCAGCTGGAGCTGACATGCCAATGTTTTTCATTCTGCTCCTGGTTACCACAGTGCAAATCTTTGGCTTTTATGAAGGTCCCATGGATATCTAGGGTCAACTTCATACAAGGATGGGGTAGAAGAAAACACAGGATTCGCAGAACATTTTGGGATCTGTTTGGTCTGAAACACCATGTTACAAAATCCCAGCACTGTATTTCTAAATTCCATGAACCCTGATTACATAAGGCCACAGAGCTCAACTTTCCTCCATTTTGGGAATGATAACAATCATGTAGTTGCAGTATCTGTACCACCAAAGGCGGGTTTATTTTCACCACAAAGTAGAACGTGGAATTTTTTTATGTCATTGAATACTGAACACTGAAATATGACACCTCTTTCAAATTCTAAAATACATACTTTATCCCTTCTAAAAGGTGATGTATAGTCCCCCATACACATTGCTTTGTCAATAGTAAGGTATGCCATTTACATATCACTCAAGCTGATGTCTGATAAAGATGTTGAACTATGCACAGACATGCTAATAATCTACCACAACAGACAGATTCATTATATTTTAATAAGTAAAGGGATGGCTAAAGACTTTCCATGAAAGTCAAGCCTTTATAGAAAATCTGAATGGAGATTTTGGTAGCTGTGTTGTGCTTAGTAACAGTGTCACTGTCTCCCCCCAAATCAGCCTGAGACCTAAATACAGTACACAGATTTAATTCAAGCCAACCAGAGCTAAGCCAAAAGATTATATCACTACCCAGGACCAATTTTAAACTCACAGGGTGTGGGCCTTCCTCTACCCGGGACGGTGACTCTCGTACTTACGTCATCAAAGTCAGCAATGATCTCATTCAGGAGCCGGAGGCATTCCAAGCCCTCCTTATTCACATCTGACTCTGTGTAGAATTCTTTGAAATCCGGAATGGAGGCAAACATGACACAGACGCAGTCGTAAGATTGGTGGTATAACTCCTATCGAGAAGAAAAGGATGGGCTGAACGCCAGGGAGCCCTCCAAAAAAAAGTCCAAATGCAAGGGCTTGTTCATGCTTAGATTCATAAGGAAATCACTCAAGACTCCCATACCTCCTCCCCGGTTCCAGCTTCTGGCCCATCCCACACACCAGCCCTGAAGGCAGGAGACGCTTCTAATAAGCAGATGCCACTGCTCATTCATAAGTGGTGCCCCTGCCTGAAATCTCTCTGTTATCTCTAATTTATGCAATCACAAGCAATCGCACAGAGTCGGGTTTAGGAAAAAGTGTTCTTCAAACAACTGATGGGAAACAAAATCATCTGATTGTATTGTACTAAAATGACTTGTTACTGCTGTGCTCTTTGAATGGGAGTCTACAGATTTTCCACTTGTGGTCTCCTGAAAGGAGCAGATGAGCTCAACAAGTGAGATTCCTTTTAGACTAGACAGAACCAGTGGAATCCTCAGGCCACTTATTCACATGCATAAGACACTGACAATCGTTATTCAGGTTATTCTTTAGATGTTTCAATAGAAAGAGGCTCATATTTCCTCAAGTATAGACAAGAGTTAAATTGCAATGTCTTGTAAACAAAATTTCAAGATGTTTATGTAATTTTCCTATCACAGAATGATAGTTTCGAATTTGTTAAAGGGTTCAGAAAGCAAGAGCTGTTGCACAGCCATGGGGGTTGGTCTCCGATGTGGAAGATCTCCTTCTTCCTCAGGGGCCAGCAGCGCCCTGGGTGTCATTGTGGATGATGCAGGGCATCTTGGGAAATGCTCCCTCCACCAGGAAATATGAAGACAAGTCTCTTAAACAAGATGGCCAACTCCGAGTGCAAGGAAACAAGTGAACTGGCAGAGCAAGGGGCCTCATTCATACAAACACCACCAGAGAGAGGCCTCTGCTTCCTGGGAACCCTTGACAGAGCACTTAAACATACTAATCACCAAGGTTTGGGGGCTCTCGTGCAGACTCTCTTTCCCTCAGTGATATCTATAATATCCATCAGAATCATGGCAAGCTGAAGATCACAACAGCTTCAAGGAAAAGCCAGGTTCATGTCATAATTCTGTTTTCAGGGCGGATCAATCTGTAGCATATTCCACTGCGGACTCAAAATCTGTAGACATGAAATGAACAAGGGAGTCCAGCTTTCTCCTCTTTTGGGCTCAGTGTGTCCGAACTGCCCCTCTGGGCAAACTGCATCTTCTCTGCAAATCCCTGGGAGACAACCCATGGGACGTGTGATTGTCAAGGCTTGGTTTTGGCTATGACTGCAACAGCATTGTGCCAACAGGAGAGATCACTGTCATATCCTAAAATGTTTAAAATGTTTTATTTAAATGTCAGTTTTATAGCAGTAGCATAAACTCCAAGGACTCTTCTGGTCTTAGGAAAAGGGGTAAATTTAGCAAGGATAGGGCCCATTTCTATACCCTGTTTCTCCCACTGACTGCTGACACGGGTCAGAGTGACCCTCTGGGGAAGGAAGATGATGACAAGGACATCATGAATATAGGTGGCTCTCACCAAGTGCCCACCATATGACAGGATGGGTGCATTTCTGAACACTGCGTGCACGATCTCACATTTGACTACAGCCCTACGAGACCTGTTACTCCCCACCTGCAGATAAGGAAACTATTTCCTGGCCACTACAAAGTTTTCTTTGTCATGGGCCTAAGAGCAGTGGATCCAAAAGACCATGGACTGATGTCTCTGAACCAAGAGCCCAAATACAACGTTCTTTCTTTAAGTTGTTTTTCTCAGGTATTTGATCATAGTGATGAAAAACTAATAGGCTAAAATTCACAGGAATACTCTGTTAACATCTGTGTGTGGGTATATACACTCATGTACACACAAACACATACACACACACATGCACACCAAGGAGCACCTGCTACATCAGGTATCACCATGCCAGGAAACAGGGGTTCAGGGGTGAGACTGAAAACAGAAATTAACAATAAACAGTGCAAGTGCTGTATATGCCAGGCGTGGAGGGGTCTGGGCTCCTCCTCAGGCTGGAAGGAGCATGGTGTGTTATAAAATATGCTCAGGACTGCACTCAATCTTGTGTTTGCAAACTTCCTGGTGGTTCAGGCCTCTGAGTCAGGCTGTGTAGCAAGGGCCTTTGATCTTGGATTATCTCTTTCTTCGTTAACCTAAGTGTGACCTACTTAGCACCTGTGTCCCCAGCAGTCAGCAATTGTGGACTTTATTCCTGGCAGTCAAGTGACTAGAAAATACAGATGCTTCTTTTGAAAGTCATGTGCAAAGCAGCTTCATCCTCCCCCAGAATGTCCCAGGGGTCAGGCTGCAGTCCCTGGAGGGTTCTCATCACTATCAGAAAGCGAAGTACTGTTTGTGTACAGTGTGTGTTCCCTGGATGACTGTAGTGGCAACTGTGGCTTGTTTTTTATTAAGCCTCCGCTTTCTCTGGAGGAAGCTACCTGCCTCAAAATCACACACAGTCCCTACCACCTGGGGATCTGGTAGCAAACTGCGGTCTTCTCAGGAAGCAATGAGAGCTTGCTTTGATGTGGATTCAAGGGGTTTCTCAGAGATGTTCTTGCCCTGTACATCAATGAAAAGATTGATGTACCCCCTTTAAAAGATTAAAGTGCCCCCCAAAGCTTTTGGAAGATGACTGGATCATGGGTGCTATCCTTATCTATGGACTGATCAATCATTAATGAATTCACAGCCGAATGTGTTGTTCAGAAGTAGGTCCTGGTTAGGAGAGGAAGGTCACTGGGGCTGTGACCTGAAAGGGTATATTCTTATCTACGACTCCTCTCTTTCTCCCTCTCCCCTTTGTAGCCCCATGTTGAGAGCAGTTTTCCTGGTCAAGCTCTTGCAGCATGCAATTTCTACCTTGGAGCCAGCCAACCACCTTGGAGCCAACCACCACGCAGTTTTTACCTTGGAGCCAACCAACCTTGAACCCTTTAAAACTGTGATTCAAAATAAACTCTTCCTCCTTTAAATTGTGGGTACATAGTATTTCATCCTAGCAATAGAAAGTGACTAATAATATATCAGGTCTTCAAGAGCAGCGAATGCCTAGGTGCCTGGTCTCTCTACTCCCCAGCCTGAATGGTGGACCTGTGAGATTCCACAGCTGGCAGAGAAGCCTCAGGAAGGATTAGGCAAAATAACTGCCCTGGGGCAGGGAGAAGAGCTTCCTGAAAAACTGGCCTGCAACACAAGCAGCCAGTTCCATGTTCACACAGCCCAAGCAAAGGCCCAGTGTTGAACAGAATTTCACTGAACTAAAAGATTTTTGGCATTGTTACAGTGATTAAATCATTCGTGACTTCTCATTTCTGAAGGGAAATTAATCTTTTTCTTGCATTTATACAGTGGTTAAAAGAATAAAAATGACACAGTGGAAGGCTCTTTGTTAATGTGGGTTATAAGTTGTGCTATTTTACCAATGATTGCTCTAGAAAACCATGGATTGGAGGTGTCCAAAGCACTCCTCTGAGTCAAAGTCAGTGGGCATAGCACTTGAGGCTTTGAGCCTTTTGCAGAAGACCCTTCCTCTTGGTGGCCTCCCAATGTCCTTGGAGATAACAGATTTCCAGGAGGTTTCCAGGAGGAGCCCAAGGGTGGCCACCTCTGTGCTGGTCACCTCTGTATCTAGGATGGTGTCAGCTTGGCTGCAGGGTTGGGGCAACAGTAGGAACACACAGACTTTAAAACTGAACTGGCAGGCAGCTAGGTACAAAGATGCAAGAGCTCTTACATCGCTAATGAAAACAGATGGTTCCTTAAAGGGACAGTGATTTCATTACCTGTGATCAACAGGTAAGCAGACTGCTGAATTAAGTGGCTGGGTGTGGGAAGCATCGGGAGATGAACTAGGAGACCGTGGGGCCCCAAGACTCTCCTGTGCTCTTTCAAGACATATCCGTCCCTCGTTAGCCACCTGCATTCATAGTGTGGACCTTACACAAGCTGCAGGTGAATGCTGTGCGGAGCCTTCTCACACCAGCCGCGTTTTACTGCAGCATCACCTGGGCTGGGGTCACTAATTAGCAAGTTCCTTCTGCTGCCTTCCCATCTATTCCTAAATGGCAGTGAAAATGTCCCAGGCACGTGATTATCCCTCAGACTCCTCTGCGACCCTGGAGTCCGGAACTCAGGCTTTGAGCACAGTGGCATCACACATGTGTTTCTAAACTAAGTTCTACCGCAGATCCGTCTGCCCTCCCTTGCAATTCAGCAATCTGACAGAAATCTATGACATTTCATTTCACAAGCCGTTTGGCATTTCAGTCCCACCTCTGTCCTCCTCTAGCTAGACATTCCCATAAATGTTCCTTGATAGTCTCATTTCCAGTCATTCCATGAGACAGGCTCAAATCTCTGTCTTCTTTGGTGTGGGTAACTCCGCATGTCTGCCCCACTCACAGAGGATCTCATCTATGAAATTCTAAGGTCCTTCAGTCACCCAGGGAAGCTGAGCGTGATGGAACCAGAGGTCTGCGTGCAGTGTTGCTTACTGTGACCTCTGGATTTGGGTTCTAGTGAGTGCTAGCAAGGTGGCCCCTTCCCCGGCTGGGGAGAGGAAAGGGACCACTCTGGAGATGCATTCAGGGCTGTGATATGACATGCATCTGGAACTTTCCATGACTGGGGAGCAAACCTTTCTGATAGTGAAGCTACTCCATGTTTGGACTTTAGAAGGAGATGGGAACCCCTGACCAGTGTCTCTAGGACCATCAAGATACTTTTGGAACTGCAGCCTCTCCAGCCCGTCTGCCCCAGCCCAGCCCGGCCTCGGCCCCAACTGACCTCGTTCTTCAGGCTCCTGGCCAGGAAGTGCTCGGCCACATGCGCCGGAAGCACATTCTCCAGCAGCACGCGATTCAGGTTCTCCATGGTTTCTATCTCCTCCCGCTCTTTTTTGAACTTGTTCTTCCACAAGAAGTCTAACCTACAGTAATATTCATTCTGTTACAGGAGGACACAGAGGGGAAGAGACAGTAGGCATCTTGTCCTGCTAGAGAGTGGAGGTTTCAAAGAGAAAATAAAAAGAACAAAACAAAACCATACGAAGAACTCCCACGTGGAATTGGCACCCTCCCTATCAAGCCCTCTATCCCCCTCCTAAATGTCTTTCAATCAGTTTCTAACTCGGATTTTCCAAAACACAGACAGGAATGAATTGGACCCAGGAGAAGGCTAATGAGTGGTCTACAGGCTTACAAACCACATCAGAGTAAACCTTCTCTTCCTGTGACCATGTTAATAAAGGGTGACTTTAAGTATTTTTTTTTTTTTTTTGAGGAGGAATGGGATGAGATCAATGATGAACACAGGGAAAAATGAAAGTTATATAGTATAATATACTGTTTGATTCACCTTAAAAAGATAAGTGCTCTCTTGTGGGAGCTTACATTTAGTATTTACAAATCAATTTTCCCCTATCCCAATTGTATAGTTAAGTCGTCATTTTAAAATATGATTTTTTTCATTTGGAGTGCACTGTAGACACACAATGTCAGTAGGATGTACAAAAGTACATGGATATAGAAAAGTACATGTTAAGACAATGCCTGATGGCTGGACTTGATAGATGGATACTCAGATGGATACTTATAACCCTCAGACACCAAGATGCTGGGACAGGAGGATGGCAAGCTTGAGCCTAGCCTGGGCAACTTAATAATTAGTAAAACCCTATCTCAAAACAAAAATAATAAAAGGGCTAGAGGTAGAGCTCAAAGCGAAGGCTTTGGGTTACTTTTATCATGTATTCCAATATAATAGTTTTTCAAAGCCAGTTATTACGAATATTGTAGAACTAGAGAAGCTAATTTCCTGGCAAAGGGTCTTCCAGGTCTTGGAGAACATTTTGTGCTGCTCATGATATAATTCATTTAATATGATAAAATGGGTTGGTCTGGACTCTTCTGTCACAGACAGGCTTAATAGGGTGTATTTCAGCACAGAGAGAAACTCACTAAAAAAGAAATGCAAAGGACAGCTAGGTGACGGGTGTGGCTTGGGGGATTTGAGTAATTATAAAATGACAGTGCAAGATCCAACAGCATAGACACAAACACATGCACAAATGACCTATCATGCCCACAGGGGGAATTTAAATAAATCCACCTTTGAAGCCTAAACGGACGATGATCATCATTCAGTTATCGTTATTCAAACCATGTATGAGAACTCAAAAACATTCCTCCTCCTTTGGTGTGGCTTTTATTTTTTACTTAATGCAGAGAGACACTTTCGAAAGACTACCAAAAGATACTTCAAATGTTTGCTTTATTGTTTATATTATGCTGATGCCAAGTTTATCTCCTCTGTCCTAATAGAGACCCTACTACGCACTTCCTAGGAAAGCGCTCAGCAGCTGGACAACAGATTGCCTAATTGGGATTTGGCGAGGAATAAGGCAGCGGGGAGGCTGGTTTTAAACTAAAATGACAGCGTTGATTAGAAACGGGGTCAAGAAGATGTAGGCACATGCCCAAAGCCAGCCCTATCTACCAGCAGAAGGAAGAAACACAAGCCAGACCCCTCCACGAGCCAGCAACCCCACTGCACAGAGTCTGAGAGCTCCGAGTAAACCACGCACAGAAGCTGCCCAGGCTCCACAAGCAGCTGACACGGCATCTTTTGCCTTGTTAGATCCTGGTTGGATGGTGCTGCTCACCTGTCCATCTAAGTACTACCTCCTGACCACTGTTGTGCTTGAAATGTGTCTCCTGAGAGGCTCAGGTGTTAGAACCCGGGTCTAGGATGGCTTGGGTGGTGTGTAGCTTGTAAGAGGTGGAAGCGGCCCTGGTGGAGGGCCTTACATCTTAGGGTGCGCTGAGCGACATGGCCACTCTGGTTTCCTGCTGAGGATGTAACCTCACCTTCACTTGTGTGCTGTCACCAATGTGGGATGCAGAAGGGTACCATGGCTGTGCCTCGATCCTCTAAAACTGTGAGGTAAAGAAACCTCTTTTCTTTATAAAATTATCTGGCCTGTTTCTCTGTTACAGTCATGAAAATTAACTAAAACATCATCTGTCTAAGATACGTATCATCTATCTTTATAGACCTATCACTTCTATCATCTACTATCAATTACTCATCTTTCAGTCCTTTATCTCTATATTTTATCACTTCGCTATCTGCCTTATCTTGCCTGTCCTGTCCTGTCCTGCCCTACCCCAACCTGCCCCACCCCATCTCTCTATTATTCATTTATCTATCATCTATCTGTCATCTCTCTATCTATCCATCCTATCACCTTGCCAGGCAATGCAGTCTGCTTTAGAATCCTCTTCTTTATGTCAAAGTAGCTATTGGGACAGTCTCACTTGGAAATCCCCAAAGGAAAAATAAATGTTTCTATTCCAAACCACTTGTAATGGACTAAATTGTTTTCTCCAGAAGACAGTCCCAAGCCTGGCCCCTGGTATCTGTTTATGTGCAGTTCTCGAAACAGGGTCTCCTGATGGGCGTCTCAGAAGAGAAAGGAGGGGGAGATCTGATGTCAACACCCAGGATGGCCTGTGAAGGGAAGGGGCCAGTGCCTGGGTGGCTGGAGTGACCTGCCAACGAGGGGAGCTGGAGGAGTCACTGCACTGCTCGGGGGCATGAGCAGCAGGACTGTCCGGGCTCCCCCAGCTGCAGCCTCGCTCCTGGGCTCCTTCCCTGCCCCTGACTTCAGCCTGGGGCGACCCTACAAGGTTTCTGTGTCATGCAGCAGCAGACAGCGTCTGCTCTGCCTAGGCTTGGCTCACAGAGGAGCCAGCAAACCTCAAGCGATGTCTGGACTTCTGTTTTAAGTCTTGTGGTAAGAGCTGTGCGTTTATTTTTAAATAATCCACTCAGGAGATGCCTGTTAAGCTCTGGACACACTGTCACTCAGTTATATTCTATCTCTCTTCCAGCCTGGGGCCCTTCAGTACTGCAGCTCGTCTTGTTTTGAAGCGCTAGAGGGCCTGCAGGCTGTGTGTCCATCCTGTGTGGGCAGACAGCAGGGCCATGGGGGTGGTGGGGTGTGGTCCTGCTTCTCCCTGGGTTCGCAGCTCTTCCTCTCAGGGTCTGCAGATGCCCCTGCTCTTAGGGGCGCGCCCTGCCTGGACCTCCACAGCGCAGGCTGCCTCCTCCTCGGGTGGGACTTGGGCTTCTTCCTTGCTCCAGGGGACCTGGGTTGTGGCACTTCAACCATGGCCTGGGCTTGGTGCAGCAGCAGGCCGCAGCTTAAATACAACACAGGTTAGATTTCCATCAGGTTACCCAGTGCCTAGGGCGACACGGACACATGGCTGTGCTCAAAAGCAAGCACAGTTCTTCCGCTTCAGGAAAGACGGTGATGGGACAGGGCACTGGACAAGTGACGATGAACAGAAGTGGCAAAATGTCCATTCTGCCATTTAATAAGCAGGTCAGGAAATACACTGCGCTAACCAGGAGCTCATTAGTGCTAATGGTACTAGAAAGGCTTCTTTCAAATTCAGGGAAGTTGTTGGTAAGATTCCTGTGATTATGGAAGGGTTTGCAGAGACACTGTTATCCCAGAGGTCAAAGATTGCTTCCATCTGGGAAACTCAGGACCTGACTAAATTTACTTTTGCAGCAGAGCTGGGAGCAGGGCCAGCCTGCCTGGCCACCCTGTCCTTTCCTGGGGCACCTTGCATAGACCAGGTAACTCCTACACAGCTGCTACAAATGATCATGACGTAGGACTGCTCCCTGAGAGAGGAGTAACTTTCCGAGGCTCTGCGTACCCACATTGCTTTTGGTACACTGCCTTCCTGCAAGACTGCTCTCAGCACAAGTGGACTGAAGAGTGCCCGAGTGGGATGCAATTCTTTTGATTATTGATCTAAAGGGTAATGGCTCAATTGTCAGGCTCTGGCCTCAGCCACAATGACCTAGTGCCGATTCCTGACTGATAAGGTTGGGGGAAGTTAATTTGATTCCAGGCCGATAGAACAAGCTGGAGCTGTCAACTGATGCGAAGTGGCAGAGGCTGCAGGAGAGGCTGTGGGGCACAGCGTCAAGGGCCTGACTCTGAAAACAGGCAGCCCTCAGAGGGGGCTCTGTCCCGAGGAGCCACTGCTCCTCCTGGCAGCTGGATTCTCCTCCCGCCTAAATGTCAGGGCTTTCCGAGGGCAGGCAGGCGAGCGTGCAGGGGCTGGTGTGGGAAGGACGGTTCCCAGAGGGCTTTGCGACTCAACAGTGCAGCTCAACCCGGGTGGCTGCCCAATCTGTCAGCTCCCAGGGAAGGACACAGCTCCCACTGCGGGGGCAGAGAGGAGAGGACCATCCCAGAGCCAGGACAGCCCACAGGGGCTCGATCTGTGACCGCAATCACTAATAGCTCCTGAGAGCACAGAGAGCTGGCAGCCAGACCCGAATTCGCCAATCTGTGCCTCTCAGATGTTCATTATAGATGGAATGTAACTGATTAATAGTGTGTCCAGAGCTTCACACACATCCCCTGAGTTGGTTATTTAAAAATAAACACTCTTACCATAGGACTTAAAACAGGTGTCACTTGAGGTTTCTGGTTGTCTGACTATAGATGAGTTCTATAATCTATCAGTGAGTGATCTTGCAGGAGAAAAAGAACAGCCCTTAAAATCCTGTATGTGGTCTCTGCTGGAAGACCCAGAGGAGCAGCGGGGCCCATGGGAGGAGGAATGTTTCATTCTGGTCACAGTATGTACACATTTGGAAGAGAGCAGCGTATTGGTAGAAATGGTTGCAAATGGCATAAAGAGATCACGTCCACTTGCAAGTGAAAGAAGCATGCCATCGTCCTGAAGAGTGCGGAAAATTCTAGCCAAGAGGTCTCTCCTCAAATGTCAGCTGTTTGGAGACAGTGGGGAACTCTTCTGCGGGCCTATGAAGCCCATTAATCTCATTTTTAGGTTTAACAGGAAATTAGTTGATTCATATCCCCGGCATTCACAAAGTTTGTCTCCTGTGGAGTAAAGGGCTTCTTTCTTCTGTATCTAACCTACACTTCTTGCTACCTACTTTTCTCTTAAATGACAAGGTGATTTTGACTCATCAGCATTTGCTTGCACAGAAGTCACCATGCTGCACATCAGCAAGGCACAATTATTCATTAGGACCTCAGAGGTAGGAAAGCAGACTTCTTACCTGTCTACCCAGGACAAGCAGGGTGATGAAGAATATGGAGAGAGACACGGAGCCCATGGTCTTCAGGTCTTTCCAAATGCCTGGCCTATTAAAAAAACAGACAATCCACCAATAATAGATAGGTAACATGCACAGGACTTAGAATTCTAGTATGGACAAACTTCCCTGTGCATCCCTAGGTCCCACCCTAGTCAAATACATATTTCACTACATCTTCAAATCCAGCTTATATCAAAATAAAACAAAAAAGGAGATTGTTTTGTTGAGATAGCAATAACAGAAGACTTGCGAAGCAAGCCAGACTTCCTACTGTGTATTAAGTGCTCATCAGTATAAAAGAAGGACTGATAGAGGATGAATGCCATTGGCTTTATTTTTGGGGGATCAACATGTATTCAGTATAACTGAGTACAGGTTTTCTTCAGTTCTTTGGCCTCTTGCTCTCAGAGAGACAGACTATGCTGGTATTATTAATTATGTGAAGCGTAACAGTGTACTAGGGACTTGATTTCTACAAGACACTCCCACTTGTGAATTACAGCGATGACCAACACAGGAAGTCATCTACCAGCATCCCGGAGAGGGGTGGCATCCGCATCAGCTGCCAGGTGGTTTCTTCCGCGTGACGCTTGAGAGACTGGGGACAGAAGGGCTCATCTGCACGGGTCCCCTGCTGTCTACATAGTAGAGCATCTGTCTGATGTAGTATAGGGATTGAGTATAAGCATCAAATACCGGGATCAAGTGGTGGTGGCTTTCTGCACTGTGCTGTCCTTGCTTTGTGATGTTTTGTTTCCATATGCAGGGCTCAAGAGCAGATGACACAGTAAGAGGATTTAGTGTAGAACTCAAGGGCTCAGAAGACTGTGGAGTAAAGACCCGGTGAACCCGAGCCACAGGGGACTGCTAAGCCCCCTAGAGCTCCTGTGCATAGCCAGGCAAAGGAGGCACCAGCGCTTACCTGCCTAGGTGACAGCCGTGCACACACATTATGCCCTGGTTAAATATGCACAGTCTGGTGCACAGGAAGCTCCCTGTGAATAGACGCATGGCTTCCCTGGCAAACTGTGGGGTTATGAGAGGAATGGGGCCAGCCAGGGCCAGAGAAAAAGATAAAGAAATGAACATTGACAAGTTTTACTGACAGGATGAAAGCCCCAAACACAAGAGAAAAGCAGGATGAAGAGACACAGTTGCTTTGTCCCAGTGGCCGAAGGGCTCTGGACAGTGAGAGTTCTCCAGAGAGGGTGGTGCTTGCATGTGGGCTCCTCCCTCTGCACCACACTTGCTGGGGCTGGAAGGGGCCAGGTGCTGCCACCCGTGCACATCTCTTCTTGCCAAGGTTAACTGCCATGCAGTGCAGTTACCCTGCCCACTAAAACCAATCTTATAAAACCCAGTTATTCTTCTCCAGGCCCACAGTGGCTAGGAGAGAAGCACGTGCATGAGGACAACACTGACCTCAGTGAACTGTAAATGCACTTTTATCTACATCGATTGCACGATCACGGTATAGACAAGCTGATAAAAGCAACAAAATGCATCCAACACAGCGAGTTGCTGGTGTGGGACAGCTTTTCTCTTTCTCTAGCTTGACAAACAGCATGGGACTCTCCAGTTCCAGGGGCTGAGGGAAAGAAGCTAGGATTCTCCTGACTAATGGCTCAAGGTGGGTGCCAGGCTGGATGGTGTAGCAGCTCCGTGAGTAGAATGAATCAGAACTCAGCAGCCTTTTGTAGTCCCTGGTAAGAGATGAGCACCTCAAATATACAAAGCCAGAGATCGAGAGGGACCTTTACACAATTCAAGACTGGTGCGTTTCCGTTAACACACAGAAAGTACACATGAGCCACCTGTTGAAGGAAATCCTTCCCGGGCACCCCTCACGTTAATGCATGAACTGAGGCTTGGGCAGAGCACTGCACTGCCCTGCCTGCCTTCCAAACTTTGCACCTTACTTCACATAACAAGTGGCGATGGGGACCTGAAGGAGGAATTGAGATAAGGGAAGGCTCCCCTTGCTGGTCTGGGGAGAGAAGAAGGCACCAATCTAAGGGGACCTCAGAAATAGCGTGGCACAAGCTGCCTGCTGAACACCATTGTGTACTAAGACCTGGGTGCCTTTTCTGAAGTTCTCTGAGCACTCAAAAGGACTCTGTTTTGCATCCTTAGATTTTTAGTTAGACTTCTCAAATTCTGCTTTTATTTAGTTAGCAAAAAGAACTACCAGCGTATACCGGAGGGCTGCTGAGCACCTCATGGTCCAATCTTGGGCTGCCTCTGTGTTTGTGTGCAAATGGAAGAGGAAAGTGGAGGAGAATGCAGGTGAGACATCACGAGGTCCTATGGTCTCTTCCTGGCAGAGTCCCGGCCACTGGATGGATTCCTATTAGTTCCTGGGGCTGCTATAACACCAACGGAGCTGATTGCAGAAATGGAAATGTCCTGCTTCGTGGTCTTCGAGACTTGAAGTCTGAAAATCAAGGTTGCTTTCGGGGCCACACTGCTTCTGGAGCTCCCCCAGGAATCTTTGTCTTGTCCTAACTTCAGGGAATATTTGGTGATCCTTGGTGGCTTGCTGGGAATATCTGCTGTTGGTCTCTAGGCTTGTTGGTGAATCCTGCATCACCACAGGGTACTCTCTAGGTGTCTGGGTCTTCACCTGGCTGTGTGTCACACTGGATCAAGGTCCACCATCCTGTGGATGATCCCATCTTACTAATCACACAGCATCTGCAACTATCTTATTTCCAAATCAGGGAATGTTTTGAGGAGCTGGGGGTTAAAACCTCATCACATCATGCACACACACACACACACACACACACACACACACACACACACTTGCAGAATCAAATCCACCCCAGGTCCTCACATTCTAAGGAAGCACCGTCACTGATTTAGGAAGTGGGACAGTTACAGCTACTGGAAGAGAGAAAGTTTCTAACTCTAAGATTTCCAACCTGATAACAATAGTAGACCAAATGTGTCCAAATATGCTTTTTATTCTATCTAAAAATTGGACTCTGGAGACTTAGACCCTTAAACTCGCCTGTGGCCACACGTTAATTTGCAATTCACCATCTGCCTGAGGCTGTGTTTGCCGCAGTCATTCTGAGCCTCAAGTTTCAGGAATCTAGAAGAAAAACATATGCTAAGAAACAGGGTGAGGGAGATGGAGGAACTGCTTGCTAAGCTGGTCACCCACCTAATGACCAACAGTTCGGGGAGGTAAAGAGGGTGGTTTCATCATTCTCAGGAGAGAAGTCCAGGCATGTAAATGCAAACACAGTGTTACTTTTCAAATCCTGTCAGTTTCCCGGGTAAGATGAATTTTTATTTTTATGTTTTAAAAAAGTACCCAAAGAAACCTAGTTTCAGTTGTGAACAGCAGACCAGCCAAGGAGAAGCAGGTCTTCTCAGGCCCACGACTCAGGAAGGCGAGGCCAGTGAAGAGGGGAAGCCCGCACCAGCTCCTCACTCACTGACTGCTTATCACCGAGCTTTCCTGGTTTTCTTTTTGTTATACCATCAAGTCAAGAAACACCTGGCACTGCACCTGAATTCTCAGGCATCTCTGAAGTCACATGATACAAAAAGCAAAAGTTTGCCCAACTCAATGATGGCACAACTAAGTCTTCTCACTGCAGTTCACTCTGTACGGCTGTGGACTAGATTACTAATTACAGAAGACAACAAAACACCCAGGAAGCTAATGTTGTGTCAAAGCAGATACGGCAAAAATTAAGACGGGAGGGTACTGCTGAGATGCACTGGGCAGAACTTTGAGATGCTCCTTTCCACGTTAGTGACAGGCTTGTAGGTTCTTGTGTGTCCTCTTTTGGAACCTCCTCACCAACCTGAATGACGCATGAGAACCGCAGGGCAGCCAGGGTTCCCACACTCTAAATCGAGGGCACCCAGTGAGAGTACCTTGCAAATATGAACAAAAGCCGCACTGGTTTGGAAATCACTCTTCTGCCCTAAGCGGAGTCCAGGCAATCTTCCCTCCTTGCCCCCTCACACAGAGTTACCAGAACTCTATGCAAACTTTCAGAGAAGGTGGCTTGGTGCCATGCAGGGACAGATGGCTCAAAGCCCCATGCTTGGTCAGAGTGTTTCTCATAATGCCAAGCAAAACCTTCCAGGTGCTGCAAACAGACCAATGTAAAGGGAACAGGCTCATGCTGAGGAGAATCCCGGGGTGCACTTTCAGGTCAGGAGAGCTGACACAACAGGGCAGCAGAGTCAGCACTCGCCCTTGGCGGTGGAGATGATCTGAAGGCATCCGGATTCATGCGGTTGTGGGTTCCTTTTGTGGAGAATGGTGGTTTTTTCAGGTGAGGTGATACCGTGGAGCTGAGTGCAGAGCTAGCATCCCCACTTGAAGAGGATCACAAGTGTTCATTCTACACAGACCACGAGCACAGGTTTGCACCATCCCACTTCCATCCTTGGATCAAGCAAAACAAGACAGAGCAAGCCCAACAACCAACTACGTTTCTTTCTGACGTGACTTCAGGTCGGCTGCCCGAGTCCATTGGCCAAGGCTGCGGTCTGTCGGAGGAACCGGCCAGCCCTGGGTGGCCAGGCTTTTTCTTAGAGTTAGGCCGCTGGGATTTTGTGCTTCGCTGCTTCCCTGAAGTGGGCCCCACACACAGAGGAATGTGTGCTCTTTACTTATAGAAAATGGCACAAGGTGGGGAAACTGAGCTATGGAATTTCAAAGTAGTTTGTAAATTTTTCCAATATTAACTTGAATACATTACAGGAGCTGCAAATGTGGATACAGGTTTAACTCAAAAGGGGTGTCCTTAAAGAGATTCTGGGTGCTTGCGGATACCCCTGGCTACGAACAAAGGGGCAGACTTGCAGTCTCCCCCTTTTTCTGTGTGTGAGAGATCCAGTTTCTCGAGTCTCTTGATCCAGTCATCACCCATGGACCCAAGCTGGACACCACACATCACAGTACCTCAAATTCTAGCCACCAGGATATCTGAGACATACAGATAAAGCAGGAAAGTTCCTGGAAGCCTTCACACACACTTAGTGATGGCTTGGGCTTCTCGGTTGCTCTCCTAGCTGGTCAGGGTGGGGGTGTCCAGGCAGGAAGGTGACACGAGGTGGCTGTGTCCACCAGCTGTAGACCCAGTTTTGGGGTGATGCTCAGCACTGAACGTGATAGATGTTGAAGCATTACATTTATGTGTCATCCTCAACTTTTATTCAGCTAAGGTTCCAACATAGACCGGGGTAGTTTACAGGGCTCCCTGTTAGGTCCTATGCAAGAGGCCTCCTCTTTGGCCTCCTCAGAATTAAAGGTTCTTCTCCATCCTTCAGACAAGTTTACCTCATGACTGGCCTACATGAAATGACCACACCCAGGCCCTCGGCACTTTTCAGTTCTGTGAGAAAAGAAATGTAAGGCAATCTGACAATATCTGGCCATCTGCAGCAAGCCTGTGCTGGGGGAGGGAGCATAATTTCAAGAGAGAACACATGCAGCAGGATCCACTGTCATTAACGTCACCACCACCTGGAAAGGCACTCAGTGTCCTCGGCTGCGGTGAAGCCCCTGGGGAGAAAGTGTCCCAGATAGGAGAGGGAACCAGGATTGACAGGGTCACAAAACACCCTGTGCTCACAGATGATACGGCGAACTGCTGTAAAAACCTGGAAGCTAGGAAACATCTTGTTCGCGACACAAGAAACTTCTGAGGGTCCTGCTTCATGAGGTGGCCGAGGAGAATCAAGGAAGGACAGAGAACGCTGGAGGCTGCAGTCCCGCGGTGTAAGGGCTCTCTCAAAATAGTCCCCCCCCCCCCCAGGAGTCCATTTTCCACATTTGCGAATCTAGAAACATATCTGTGATACCATTTTCTGAATTTTTCATCGGTTGGATATTTTTCTAGAGCATACTTCTTTTCTTTTTTTTGTTTACTCTGTTGGCAGAAACCAAAATTCCCTGTTGGTCTGCAGCAGCCCGCTGGCCTGTCCATGGTGAGGGTCAACTTGCTTCAGACCAGGTCCTTGCCACATGGGTCATCTCAGTTCATACAGGACCACCACATGGTCCAAATGCGTACTCAGTGCCTGGTACTGGCTTTAAGCAGAGATGCCCTGTCTGAACTTTCTTTTATTAATAGCAGAAGCAAAAAATTTATGTGGACGCTCAAAGACAGCCTCAAGGAGCTAGACATACAGACTGCCTTGGGTGAAGGAGATGAGCAAAGAAATTTCATTATGGCCATGTTTGGGTTCTTCTACTCATTGTCAGATAATACCATTGTGGGCATTGCTGGTATGGCAGTGCCACTTGGTTTAGACCTTTTATTCTGCTTAATTCATGAGAGTATGTAGCAGCCTTTGGCATACACTATCACAGAAAAGGGATGAACAATGAGAAAGGCTATGTCTCTTGCATACAGGACATACAGCATGCATACTTCTAGGTGACACCAACAATACGAGATGCTCAGCCCTTAGTCACACCTGGGGTGAGAGCCAGAAGCTCAAGGTGGATTTGCCAAGAACGCTCAATGGAAAATTCACAGGTGCCATGAGCAGCAACGTGAGTGACCTGTCAGGCCCAAACATAGGACCCAGGAAAGAGACCGAAGCAAGAAGCAGGAAAGCAGAGTGACCAAGGAGCAAGAATACAGTGACCAGCAATCTCTCAGCGAAGGACAGTGACAGACCAGCCCCATAGACAGTCAGCTTCCTCCTGGGAGGGCATCTTTGGCTTTGGGATTTAGTAAGGTTCACCTTACTTACTAAAGGCCTCCATTTTTTTTTTTTAAGGCCACCACTGTCACATCTAAAAGGGCTGTGTCTGCAACAATGAATGAGGCCAGGGATGAGGAAACCTTTAGAAGCCCCTTGGTGGGGCTCCTGATTCTCAGGAAAGAGTGAGGAATAGGCCTCTGCTTGTGCATCAGGCCTGGGTTGCAGCATGGCATCAAAGGCACTGGGCTGGAGAAGCTGGAGACCCAGCGGCTATTTTCAACTGAGACTACAGGAAATGTGTGAATTTTGAGGTGGCTGTGCCTCTGCTATGGTAGTATCAATATCCTCCTCCAGCTGAGGAGCACACCTAGGAGCTCTGCAGGGTGTGATCAACATACATTGTCAATATTTAAACTAAAAAAAAAAATAGTAAAAGATGTATTTCCATGGATCCCCTCAAAGTGCTCGCCCTTGCTGGCATCATTCATGCTACTTTTTGAAGCAGCCGTTTGTGAGGCTCTTTACAAGTTATGATGGAAAACATAGCCAATGCTGTGACTAAGTATCCTGCAACAGAAAAGTAGGCTCCTAAGATGTGGTGGTGAGTCCTCCCCCACCTCATTAACTGGATCTGGTACGACGGCTCTTCCCCCAAGCCTAAATGACCTAAAGGTAAATGTTTTGGATTAATTCAGGACATCCAGGCAGCCCTGACAACATAACTAAAGACCCTCAGGAAAGGCGATCTGCAGAACTGCTTCAGGAAGTGGCAAGAACGATGGGAACCTGTGTTGCAAGTGAGAGAGAGTAATGTGAGGGGGATTGACGGCGATGTGTCTTATAGCACAGTAACTCTAAGGAGTTAAACTTCACCCTAGGGTGCAGTCACACCTTCCTATGCCAGCCTATGCAGGGACAGACTCAGGAAGTGGCAGAATATTCTGGTGGAGATCAGGACCTGGGAGAAAGCTGCAGCCCATCTTCATGGGGAGAGTGCAGGTGTTCAGGGCTGGAGCGAAGGCCACTGAGCTTCCTGTGAGCCTCCCTGGGCTGCAGGGCATCGCAGAGCCAGACCAAGAGAACACACAAGCAGGAACAAACCCAAAGTGCTCTAGACGTTAAACCCTTCTTTTCCTCTGCTGAGTAAACCACCCTGGGGTTCTACCAGGAACTGTGTGTCCTGATTGGGCCCCTTCAGGGCGAGTAACCTTCCCAGAGTCAAAATCTTGCTCATCTAATTTCTTCTTCTGCTTTGAAGGTATAATAGTTCCATCACTTTAAATTTTATAAAGAGAAATTAAATAGTGTCATCAGCTGTGTGTGAAAATCGGCAATGCTGCATTTAATCAGAAATGTAAGACAGGCTCTCTGAATACAGTGATTCTGGTTGGTGCTTTTAAGAATTTATAGGAAAATTAACTTCTGATTACATTCTCATCTTGGCTCTGGGATCGTAAAATTTTCTTAATCCAATTATGCATTTTTACAACCCCAGTGCCTTAAGCCTGGTGAAGAATATCAGCGCTCCCTAGTGTGGAGGAAGAGGAAAGCTAAATTAGGTGGAGAGAACCTACCATAATTGCATGTATGAAAGTACTCGCGTTGGTAAGAAATGTTTCCAGTGACACAGTGAGGCTCTTCCTCCTGGGCCCTGGAGAAGGGAGCGGCACATACCCTAAACACAACCCATTTTTCTAAAGCAACAATTCTATGCCAATCTTGCAGGCACTTCTTACTTTATGTCCACAGAAACTGGGAAATAGCACAGAAAAGAACACAAAGCACTCTCAGAAAATACGTTCACGCCTGAGGGGCAATAAATAACTTTGATATAAAGTACTTTGCTATTGGAGTGTGAAGGGAGGCCATCAAAATGATTAAAATGGTACTTCTTCAAGCAGGGAATAAAATATTCATTATAAGTTCACGAGACTAGTTTGGTAACCAGAAGCTTTGGTGTATCTGACTGGACCTTACGAGATTCTCCTTGCTGGATCTCGTCCTGGGGCTGGGAGAGTTGGTGCAATCTTTGTCAGAGTCCCATTCTTCATATGCCAAAGAATTTCCAGGGTCAACAATTTCCCCACCCCATGACTGCATTTTAGGACATCTCTACTAAGAAAGAGCATGAAAATTTCTGAGTATAATTATTCATTTTCCCCCATATTTTTGATCTAATTGAGAGGTTTTTTCTGTTATTTGTTTTTGTTTTGTTTTGTTTTTATCTCCTGAAGACATTTGGTAATTTTTGGCTGCTGTGAGTAGGGGCAAAGGGACTGCGATTAGCTTTCAGTGCATGCCAGAAGCCAGGGATGTCACTAAGCACCCTACAATGCACAGGAGAACTACCAAAATGGGGAATTATTCCATCCAAACCATCAACAGGGCAGAGGACCCTGGGCTGCTCCTATTAATATAGTCCAGATTATGACACACATTTTCTCTCTAAGCCACTTCATATGTTTTAAGTATATTTGATGACACATATGCCAAGGAATAACAAAAACACTCATCATCTTCCTGAGCCAGCCTTTCAAGAAGCTCTCATCCCGATTATCACAGACAATAGTGTCACTAATTTCCACTCAGCCCACATGCTGTTATCAACATCCTGCAGGAGAACTGAAATCAGGAGAGGGAGGGAGCAGCTTACCTTTCGAACAGCACCTGGCTGTAGTCGTCCAGGACGTGGGCGTGGGTGTGCAGCAGGATGGTATTGTAGCTCACCAGGGCCACCATCATGATCAGCATTTTCAGCTCGTAATTCACCCGCAGGAACACGGAGCAGGAGATCAGCCCCAGGATACAGCTGTATATGAAGTACTGGGACGGGGATAGACGACAGAAAGACAGATACTGAGGCGCTCTTCTGAGGAATGGGGACACAACTGAATTGGGGACCATGGTGAAGTTCACAGGGTCAACTTATAAACTGGCTGTGGAAGCAGATATTCCTTTTTATCCTCTGATCCAGTGGTAAAGTGCCAAGTACACTAGATTCACAAGAATTACATATCCCATGGCTTTCTGACCCAGTCTGGCATGATAGACAAAAGTAAGCGTATCCATTGCCCAATGCTTTAGAGAAACAAAATTTTCATAGACACCTACATTGAAGAGATCATCATAAACACATGTCACTTATGTCTTGAAAACGAAATTTGTGTAAATCTCCCTGTACAAGAGAGTACCTGAAATCTTTTTTGGCTATTCAATTCTTTAATTCATTATGAGGATCTGCAGATAACTTTGTTTAAAGCCCAGATATTTACTGTTACGACTTGTGTCTAGATGTCCCCACAAAGTCTCATGTGGTTATAGGTGGGGCTTGTCAGAGGTAGCTGGATCTAGAGCCACTCTGGGATGAAGTGTGTCTGATGCTGGGATCAAGGGTGTGTGATCACTAAATTAGTCAGCTTGGCATAGTTCTGGGTGTGAATACTGCAAGGCCCACCCTGGATGTGAGTGCTTCTCGCCCTAAAGGAATGCAGCCTGGACAGATAAGAAGGGGCAGCGAGAGGGCTGCCTGCTCACTGCTGCTTCACTGCTTACAGCCTCTGTCTGCCATGAACTCCTCCTTTCTCTGATACTCCCCTGCCATGCCACCCTACCGTGCAGCCAGTGGACTATGAACCAAATCCTCTAAAAACTAAGAGAAGAAATAAACCTTTCCTCCTCTAAGTTGGGGTGTCAGGTATTTTGTCTTGACAACAAGAAAAGTAACTAGGATTTTGCTAAAACAGAAATCCTACATCAGAATGTTTATCTGCAATAGAGAGGATTGAAAGGGAAGCTGGGGCCAGGGTAAGACGCAAGTACCTTGAAAATCTGGCACCAGAAGAAACTGTGAGCATGGAGTGTGAGGCTGGAGGTGGGCATGGTCCACCGCAGCCTGCAGGAAGCTGCCAGTAGCCTACTGTGTTCCCTGCTTCCTCCTGTCTGTCACAACAGAGAGCCCAGGTGGGCCAAGTGTGCCCTAAGTTCTGACCGGTGTCCAGAGACCTAAGTTGCCTATCTCGCTGAGCCCCATCTGGAAAGGCTGGGTGACTGCATCATTCCTATGGACCACTGCAAAGCACAGAAGTAACCAAGTCCAGCAATGACCATTCCCAGAAAGCCTTTAATTTCTGCACCATGGAATTTTGAAAACAAGGGGTTGTGTCATTATTTCTCCCCTGCACAGAGAGACGTAATGTAATGTAAGCATTTTAACCAAATACTCAGATTGGCGTTGAATACGTTTAAAAACAGCTCCTTTTGTAAGCAACTCAATTTTAGGTTCATCATTTGAATGAGCCATGTGTGAACTGCTTTTTTTGTCCTTCCCGTTCTTCCTCGTGCTTCCTCAGCTAAAGTCATCTCCATGAAGCTGTGTGAAAAGCAAGCCTGACTAAGACACTATTACCCCGCCAGTCCTGCTCGCAGGGAAGTAGCAAAGTCGGAAACTGAGCGGCAGGGGTGAGACAAGAGCTTCCTTTTCATGACAGGTGCACTCGGGTGTATGCCAGCACTAGCAGGAATTAACAGAAATCTTGGAAAATGAAGTTTGCACCTGACGTTCCTGCTTTCAAAAGGAGACCAGTGATTCCCGCCGGATGACACAACTGGGTCCCGTTTGGGAAAGTCCCACACCCTGTGCAGGGCTTCTCCTCCTTTACGTGATGAGACTTCTTTCTCATCACAGGGAGAGGAGGAGGCAAAGAAGAGACAAAGGCTGTTGACAGGATGGCACAGTGTGGGTAGGAGAACGGCAGACTCACGAGGCATGCGGAGATCTGCACAGACAGTGCCAGGCCTCATCTTGCAGGCTCCTGGACGCCAGACCTGATTGCCTGGGAGCTCTGCAGCTGTTTGCAGCTGTGGTTCTGCAGGACTGCACCACTCACACTGAACCAGCAAGGAATGTGGACAGAACGGAGACCACACTTTGACAGGGTGTGCTTCTTTTTGCTGACTTTAACAGAATACGGTTTGCCCTGCTGATGCCCTCATCTTTAGTTCATTTTCCTAGCAATCAGTCTTTCCATCTTTCATAAATATTAGTTCATCACAGACTGGAAATTCAACAAAATGAATGAAAGCAGAGCCTTCTCACAATGAGGGTGAGGAACACTGATCTGTAACCTGCTATCCGTTAGCAGTTACAAGGGTCCTGTTGGCACCACGGGATCAGTGGCCAGGCACCCACGGATGCCCCTGTCCTGCTTGATCTGCCAAAGCAGCTTGCTTGAACAACTGAGGCAATCCTGGGTCATCCTCATGTCCCTGAGGACCGGGTTGATAACACCTGCTGCAGAGAACTGTCAGTGCGATTCAGTCACCGAGGAGCACATCCCTGTGCCGGACTGCGGGAAGCTATGCAGACTCCGCTGTTACTGTTACTAGCTAGGGATCTCGGTGAGTTCCAACTTTTACAATGGTTCTACCACTAAAACTATGCTTCCAAAAGACTCTTCCACTGAAAATTGTCAACCAGTGCAGCAGAGTATAGAACAAGAAGGGACAATAAACTTTTACGAGTATATCAAGGCGTGTATGTGAGTCTGGGGGAGCTGGGTGCTGGAACAGCTTTAGAAAGATTTCCCCAGTACCCCTAGCTTGAAATGTGTGTCAGTATCTGTAAAATATGCCTAAGATTTCACAATTTAAAATTCACTCTTAGTCTTTTGGTAAGTTTTCATATTTCAGGAACATCTACTAAAATACATACAAAAGGTGACCAGATATATGATCAAAGTTTGAACTAAAACTTGGTCACAGAAAAACACACACTGCCATGAATCCCCTTCACTTTGAACAGATACATTCATTTATCTTTCTTGCCAGTTTCTGAAGCATCTCTGGAAGTCCTCTTTCATGAGAGGTTTTACAAGGTGTTATGGCTGATACCTATATGTCCTCCACAAGCCTCATGTGCTCTTAGGGGGAATTTTGAGGGTGGCCGGACCTCAGGTATTTGAATGTGGATTAAAGGGGGTAAGGGTGTGTGGATTCATCCGCTAACAGCTTTAGCATAGTTCCTAGTGTGGATGACGGAGTTCTGCCCTCGGTGAGGGTGGCACCAATGGATGAACTCACATCCTGGATGGACTATAAAGAGAGAGGGCAGGCAGGTTGCTCCTGCTATCGCTCACTGCAGCTCGCAGCCTTCTACCTGCTATGCCATGCACTGTTTCTCCTCTGTTACATCCCTCTGCCATGCTGCCCTGCCTTGAAGCCAGCCAACTGTGGACTGAAACCTTCACAAACTGTGAACTCAAAGAAACCGTTCCTCATTTAACATTGGATGTTGGGCATTTTATCTCAGCAATGAGAAAATTAACTAAGAGACAAGATGTGATAAAAAATACAGTTAATGCTACTGCTGAGAGCCATCCAATGCAAAAGCAGGATCATAAAAATATTACAGCTCATAGAGTCACTTTTGTCAACAGATATGGCACTGTGAGACATCTGGGTTTTTCCCAAAAGTGAGAGAGCCATGACAGGTAAGCATTTGAATAGATTCAGAGCCTCAGGGCAGCTGTGACGACGCAAGGGAAAACAGGCAAGAGGACTTCAGAACTGCTTCAGAAAGTGCCAGAATTTACGGGATGGGTGCGTTCAAAGTGAGGGAAATACTTTGAGGGAGATTAATGGCAAAGTGTCTTTCTCTGTAGTAATTTTTTATTTTTTAACTTACCATTTCCTGTATTTTGTTTATCTTGTCTATCAGTGGCAAGGATACTTTAGTCCATTCCCTATCACGTGGCCTCTGTTAAGTACTTAGACGATGAGCAGAGCTTTCTGGAATTAAAAGGTGGGTTGGAAACCTGCAGACTCCCCAAAGGGGTGCACGGAAAAGGGAGCATGAGGCAAGGTGAGGCTGCTCTTCCTGAAGACCAGGATTCTCTGCTACGTAATTCAGCATACCAGGCGGAAGAGCAGGTGACCAAGGGTTCTATTAGAGACTAAGTGGGCTGTTAAACTGACTTCTATCAGGGTAAACTTGCTAACAACCTGATTACTAGCCACTTTTACCACTTGTGGCATAATTGATGCAATCAGCTTGTATTTTGTGGCAAGAAATTGTTGCTGCTACCTTGAGTAATTTCTCAAAGTTTCTCTGGACCTTGGTTTCCTCATTGGCAATGTCAGAATTCCAGATAATGTCTATGTCACAGGGCAGTTTACTAGATGAAATGATACAGTGTCTGTAAAATGCTTGCTCTGATGTGAAAAGCTTATTCTTTATGGTTTGACATTTTAACATAATCCCTTTTTCCCTGCTGCATCTGATGTTCAAAATAGAACCTGTGAAAAATGATGCATGAAAACAAGGTTTCCTGGTAATCCCCAACTTCCACAATTAGCTAATACTACAAGGTGTCTGTATCTCCCCAGATTTTTTTGTGACTCCTTATTAACATAATATTTTTATAAAACTATGATCATGCCATTTGAAATGGTTTTAAATAATACTTTTAATTGCTAATTTATCATGCATATACATAATAGTAAATATCTCTATGTCTTGTAAGTGCTGGATATAATTTTATTTTGTGTTTATAACAAAATTTTTTGCAAAAGTACTTTTTATAGCTTTTAATTTTTTTTCCTTTCAGTTGTTATACACACACTTGGACAAATACTCTGATGAGTAAATCTTCATATGGTGAAGAGTAACTTCCAAGAATAGTCATTCTGGTAAAAAAATTCTCCCTTGTTTATACTTTTCTGATTACAGTCATCACTATTGAGAAAGGTCCCGTCACTTTATACCACCACCAACCATGAGCGGGACACAGGGTTAGGGCAGTATGCAAACAGGTGGTGTGCACACACACACTCCCTGGTGCGTCAGGGAGGAGCACAGTGCCTGCAGGCTCCCGCGGTGCCCCTTCAGCCCGAGGCAAGCAAGCAGTCTCCATGCAGCAGGGACTCACCAGTGAGTGCACTCCCGGATAAGCCCAGTAGAATCTGCTTTCTAAGGATTCATGACTGAAATGAGGGAAGCCTGTGTACTAATTAAAGACTCTGATCTGTACCTCTTTCCAGAATCTACCAGAATCCAGAATAAATGCTGCCTTTGCCCTTCTTGGAATTTAATTGGTTTTACTGAGATGAATCTCAATAAAATTCATAGTGCTGTCCTCATTTGTTGTGATGCCAAGGATGGAGAGCAATTCTACTCAAACATACTGGATGGAGAATTTTTAAAATTATTTCAGCTTCCTTTCCTATGAAAACCACAAACTTTTAAATGTGACTTGCTACATGAATGCCAGAATTGGTTACCCTAGGGTCCACTGGCCTACGATCATGTAATGTCCTTGCTAATTTCCTTGGCATGGTTGGGGGGAGACAAACCATAGACATTTTTCCCTAATGCAGAGGGGAGGTATAAATTGCTCATGGAAGATTACAGAGAGTAAGCCCTCATGATGAGTCTTATCTCTTAATTTTCATACAATTTATGTAGAAAAGTTGAAGTTTCATCCTCATGAGGGCTTATGATAATACTTAACTTGAGAACAAGGACTCCTCGGATAAGGGATGAAGCCTGGTCCCTTTCTTCCTGAGCCTTAGGGACATTGCTACTACATCATCATCACCTTACTCCTGGGTCAGTCATAGCTTCAGAAACCTTCTTGAAGAACACCAGAGGTCTCTGCTATCTGTACACAGAGCTGTGAGTTTTCCAGAAAATTAAAATGATGACGGGAGGAGAAAAAGGATAAAAGTGTAATATCAATAGAGTAAACCACTAAAACAAGAATAGGTAAAGAATTACAGCTAACGAAGTTAAAAGTGGTAGAAATATTTGAGAATGTGCATATTAAAATACCTACATAGGTTTTCCAAACAGTTCACACTAAAGCTGGAACCTGGAAATAGAAATTAAATAGGAATAATCTGTGCTACTTTTAGATGTGTCTTGGGAAAATGAAAACAGGAGGATTAAATCATTTGTCTTTTCATAAACAGTTCATGAAAGAAAAGAAAACTCTTAAGCACTAACTTTCTTTCAGTACAAAGCCTGGGGTGTTAGAAGTTCAGGAATTCCAATTAAGGTCCCCTGTGACGTTGGTTACAGTGAGTCAGTTAACAAGAACGCTTGGAGGATTGAGTTATGGGGAGGCGAGTCCATCCCATGGTCACAGTGGTAGGTGGAAATACTCACTCTCTGGGACACTAAGCAAAATCTATAAGCAAGAAAGGCAGCAGCTCAGGGGCCACAGGACTGGATAACGGCCAACAAGATACAAGCTAGAAACACAGTGCATCTGAGAGAATGCAAGCAAGCACCACTGGGGACAGCACCAAATTGACATCGTGAGTTTGCAAATGTGCGTTTAGTGATCACAATGGATTGGAACTTCTAGCCTCATCTGACATTCATAAACCCCCCTACGCAGGGGTTCAAAGGGAAGCAGAAAAGGACAACTATAAACGCTATGATGAGTGTGATCACCTTACCGGGAGGAAAAACAAATTTTGTGCACGCAGAATCGCTGCCTGGTTGGGTGAGGCAGAAGCATTTGAGTTCGATGTATTGGCAGTCAGAAGGATTGTCTCATCGGAGTCACTCAAGAAAAACTGCAAAGAGAAATGATTTTTAAGGGAATTCATGCAAATAGATAAAAACAGACAGCAGGTGGGAGCTGCTGTGAGGCATGATTGTGTGCCCATGTGCAGCTGGCGGGAGTGTTGATGCGGACAGTTGGTTTCTCCCAACTTCAAATCATTTTCCCTTTCTGAAGTTTTGGTAACTACTCTTCCATAAGCACATAACTATTCTGTACTTCATATTCAGTAGAAAATCCTGTGTCTTCAATTCTAAAGAAAATGTCAAATATTAAAAATGCACACAGCACAGGGAAGGGGTGTTGATTGGCTGACATCACCATACTCCCAGAAATTCAAGTCTCTATCACAAAGTCAGTGCCTTCAGAACACTTTCCTGCAGTGTCTCTGCCTCTTGGTCTCATCAGAAAAGAGTCAGCAAAGTTCGATGAGTTTTTGATCTTAAATTAATTTCAGAGGCAAAAGGCATTCATTGACACCAGCATTTGTATCTATTATTTGTGAGTGCTTGGCAGCTCAGATCATGAAGGATGACACATTTGGGAAGATCGATGTTCTTGGGACTCTTGGAAAAGTGATTATAATTAAAAGTACTCTATAAAAGATGAAGATTTGCTCTTTTTTCATTTCTTAAATTTATATTAGTACAGATTTCTAGTACATAGGGATCACATTCGTTGTGAGGAACTGGGACATGTACACATCTTAATTCTTTTAATTCCCTCCCCGTCTCTCCACCGCCTGGTCCCCTTCCTATTTGCAAAATAGATAATAGCAAGGTAATTAGCTCTTACATGACAGCCACTAGCATCATGAGAGACTGGCAAGGTGTCAACCTGTTAGCCAGGAGGAGAAGCAGCCTCCCGCGCTTCCCTGCTGTCTCTCTTTCCCATGAGGAAGCTGTGGTATGTACTGTTTAAGTGACCAGAGACACTGCGCTGTCTTAGAGCTGAGGGTCTACTACGGAGGAATATTCTGGGAAGAGTGATCAGGAAGTCATCACTTGTGCCGATTCCTTTCAGTGAAAGAAGCTGATCTCCTCTGTAAGTCCCGGTTGTGTTTTCTGCCTCAGGCTAAATATAGTCCACATTCAAAAAGCAGAAGCTTCCTATAACATTTCCAGGGTTGCTTCTGTTTGTACCTATTCATCTATTTCTTTTGATTGCACCATTATCATCAAATGCCTAAATTAATTTACTCAGGTAAACAGATACTTATTTAGTATATTTTAGAGGCCATGTGTTTCCTATTCCAAGAGTGATACTAGTGATACATTTGTGTCGTTTGATAAAATGTAGCAAAATGCTGATTTAAAAATCAAAGAAATTGAGACTTCTTTATTAACAGCTAAGTTTTCGTAACAAATGCACAACTTCACTCTGAGCCAAAAATGTGCTGATTCTTTGGAAAAAATTATTAACAGGGGGAAAACCAGTGAGTTATTGTGTGGTAAACACTGAGTTCCAAAGTATGACAAACTTAGATTTGACAGACCCGGGATTCCATAGATTTACACACTGAAGAATCAAGAAATGACAAAGAAAATGAGACTGTTTAGTTCAATGGGTTTCTGCCAAGGTTAGTTTTAGGCACTCAGGACCTTAAAATAATTAACATGAAGCTTCTTGCTTATAGTGCCACAGAGATCAGAAACTCAGTCAATGAAGAAGAGGCGTTAAGTTCTTACTGTAAGAGCAGAGCACAACTTGTGAAAATCCAGTGGTATGTACTGTACCACAAACTATGCCACAAACAAGATGGGGTCAGCTTGAAGGACAGCAGAACGTGCCAATCAACACAAGAAAGCTTCCCTAAGTCTTGCTAGTACTCATCAAATATCCCCCAATCAGCAAACTCTTCTAATCCCTTGTCCTGTTTTCTTCCATGTAAAATGCCTGCAACGTCCTCTACAGAAAGAATCCCAAGCATTGTCACTTTTTAGGGAACTCCTTGTCGAAATCATATTAATTAACTATATTGGGTACAATTAGAAAAATGCTATTGTTATCCTAACAAGACATCCTCATAGTGCTAAAGAATACCACACCTATTTACATTATTTTCAAATTTCATATTCCCCAACCAACTTGATACACATCAGAATTACGCATTTCCAATCATGTTAAATTATGATCACGTGGTTTGTTAGGGTGTTTTCCATCTGATGACATTATTGTGTTTGCCATTTCCTTGGAATTAGAAGCACAGAGAGATTACTAGGTGATCAAGGGTAACTCTTGGTCTGCGAGGCTCACACATTTGTGTACAAACTAATTTACAAAATATCTTTTGAAAGTGTCTCAGAATAAATTGAAAAATGATGTGGGAAATCACAAGGTGACATTGTCAAAAGTAACAGAAAAACAATGGCAGGGCTGTGCGGGTTGTCAGACACGATTCTAACAGCTGCCTACAAACTAAACTGGGAAAAAAAAAAACAAACAACACAAGGTCATTTGCAACCTGCTCCCAAGAGAGCTTATATTTGCAAACAAAAAGAGATGCATACTTGTTTTCTCCACTATTCAGTGAGGTATTTGGTATCACAGAAGTGAACATCAAATGTTTATAGCACCTTAGACAAATCTCATAATTCATTCTCGGTGAGACTGACCTAGACATTTCACCTTTCACTATCAGTGTACAATGAAATTTCAGACAGCCAGTTCTCTGAATGCACTGTCCTGCTGACCCCAGCTCTTGTAAGCACCGTTAAAACGTCAACTCAGAAAGACCCTGTAACCGGACGTCATGTGGGGTTCACATGGGGACCAGCCACTTCATAGTTACCAGCAGAAGCAACCATGGGTAACACGCCCCACACTTCTCTCCCCTCCAAGGTGACTAAGGTAATGGCGGGGGATGGAAGACAAACTGGTAGTAAAGGCTGCCCACTGTGGGCTGGGAAGATGCATGGTAAACGGAGGCCTGCCTGCTGCAGGGGGCTGTAGCAGCCAAAAGCAAAGGAGCGCCCCAAAAACAGTAAGCTGTGAGCTAAGGCAGACCCCAAAGGACCACTCCTGCAGGAGTCATCTTACGGAGGTACCTGGAAGAGGCGGATGGGCCGGAAGCAGCATGCCAGGTCCAGAGGCAGGGAGGGGAAGGACATGGAGCTGGTGTTTAGTGGGCATGGAGTTTGCGCTTAGAGTGGCCGCCAAGTTCTGGAGCCGGGTAGTGTGACCATACAACGCTGCAAGTCTGACTAATTCTGCTGAGTGGTACATGGATAAGCAGGTAAATGGTGTGTTTTATGCAATAAAAATAAACATTAGGAATCATGAAAAAAACGCACCCTCGTTTTAATGCCTAAGAGAAAACTTAGAAATCACAGGGCTGATGTATGAGGACCGGAATGAGGCTATGACTTTAAAACCGCCTTCCCTCTGGAAGTTTGCAACTCGAAGTGGGGCTCTGTGAGCCTGGAAAATGAGTTCCCCAGGAAATACTCAGGAAAACATAAAAACTGACCCTGCATGCAGGAGTACAGCTCCAGGCTGGACAAGCTGAAGCCCACAGGGATGGGAGGAGTAACCAGGCACAGACAAAGACCTATCTGGGGCTCCTGCCCCACCGGGGTCTCTTCTGCTCTGCCTGGCTCCAGAGCTCCAGATGCTGCACGATGGGGCAGGAGCCCAGAGACCCCGCCTGCCCGGGCATGGGGGCCAGCAGCTCCAGGCATATCTGCCAATCCTCAGCGCTGATCAGAGGCAGCCACGGGACAAGCCTTGCTTCTGCTATTAGTTAGACTAGACAGGATACAAAAACTCTACTATTGCATGGAATCGCTTTCCTTCCAGGCCTAAGGTGGCTGTCCATAGCAGTTTATGGTTTGTCGTTGACATGAAAGCAAGAGGTGCATCTGCACGGAAAAAAAGCCATGGATTTTACGACTCTGAGGTGTTGATAAAAATGGCATTTCTCGGCAACAGGGGAGAAATAGCTGTGAGCAGATGCGGTTTCCTGCCCCTCTCCTGGGAGGGCTGGGAGGGTAGGAAAGCAGCTGGGCTCACTCCTTGCTCTGCACACGGTTGCTCAGCAGAGGGAGCAAAATCTTACTTCATTTCGTCACCCGTGCCTGCATCTTCCAGAAGCTCTCTGCCCCCCTTGGCAATCATGCTTCCTTTTGCAAAGATGGAAAACAAAGCTGGAAGATGTATTTCTGGTCCTGAAGATGAATCCCCGCCCCCACCACACACACCAAGGGATCGTAGTTACTGTGGATCAAAAGTCTCCGCCTAAATGCTCAGCTCCTCAAACATTTATAGACGGTGACTAAACCAGCTGTCAATCATCACGGATCAGCGCACGGTATGTACCAGGAGCTTGCAAGACAGGTGCTTCCCATTTGCATTCTCTTGTAAAAAATTAAGCGAGAGATCTTGGACAGATCCTTTATCCTGGTGCTAAGGCAAACTAGATTTTACAGAAAGGAAATTTTTCTTTTTTAAAGGATGTGTGATTACTGACTCACTGGCTACACAGTCATTCACCCCTCTAAGAACTAATGAACATCTCTTTACCCAGAAAGCACTTTCCTAAGACAAGGTGAAAAATAAGTAAAAGAAAAAAAGAGAAAAAGAAAGATAACTCTTCAAAAAGATATTTTTCTGTGCACTCCAACTTTCTTTATTCATAACAGCCAGGACCCTGAGACAACTTATGTGTCTACTGACTGGGGTAAAAATGAATGGTGTATAACAATGAAATACTACTGAGCACTAAAAAGAAGGAATCCTGTCTTTTGCAAAAACACGAATGAATCTGGAAGACATCGGGCTATGTGAGATAAACTAAGTACAGAAAGAAAAATACCACACGACTTCACTTGCAAACAAAGTCTTCAAAAGTTGGCCTCCTAGAAGTGGGCCAGAGCGTTTACCAATGGCAAAAGAGTCACAGGTCTAAGGAAAGTTACAGTTATGTAGGACCAAGAAGCCTGGAGGTCTAATGTATGGATCGAACATAGGGGACTCTGGGGGACTCTCAGTCACTTATTATAGTAACCATTTCCCTATGTGTACAGAACATCATGCCATAAATTTTAATTCCAAGAGCATCACATCATCACTCCATCCCCTGGGTGACACACACTCCCTGGTGGCTTTGAAGACAGCAGGACTCTGTCGCTTCTCTGCCCTCCTGTGGCATTTACTTCTGACCAGCTGGGCCCCACGGCTTTACTCTGTCCAGCTGCTTGGAGCACCCGTGTGCTCTGCAGGGGCCTGGCTCTGAGCGGTGGGATAGCGCACAGATGCAGGTCACAAAGCAGAGCACAGGCAGCCCGACTTCAGAAACACACTCATGTCCCCATAGCCTCCGGCCAGTACCCCTCACCAGCCTCTCTGCCTGTCACCATGTGGCGCCTTCACAATCTTGCAGCTTCTGTAACATCACCTGTGCACTACAGACAGGGCCACCCTGGCTGTGATACATTCACAGCGGGCTCTCAGGAAAGTTCTTGTCATTCTCTTAAATCTCTCATCCTCTGTTCCCTCTTCCCCCAGCCAGCGAGCACCTCAGGCAGGCGGATGCGAGGCTCTATTAGGGCCTTGGCATCTTAAAATCCTCCCAGAGAGACTCACTCTCTGGAGAATTCTTATTGTACAGACATGGTGTCACTTCCCAGCTGCATCGCCCTCAATCTGGATAAGTCCTGGCTGGCACACGTGGAAGCTTTAGGATGAGGCCCCCAGCCCCAAGAAAGGCCTTATCATCCACACAGCAGAATGTGGGCCTCAGGTGCAGCCAGGGCCCAGGAAGAAGGGAGACCAGCCCAGTGCTGCTTGCTGATTCTACAGAACTGCAGTGGCAGGTCTGTAAGTTGCCCTGCTGGATTCTCATACATTCCCCAGGGCAGGCAGGGAAGAGGAGAAGGAAGCTACAGCTTCTCTACCATGCCCCCTTCTCCCAAGATCCATTTCTAGGCAGGGTGAGCGATGTCAAGACCACCCATCCTGGCTCCAGGTGGCATGGGCCTCCCCTGGTCTCCGGGTGTCTGGGGGAAGTGGAGGATGCACAGAAAGATACTGACAACTGATCCCGTGTAGACCCTCTGGCTGTGGACCACTTCCTCAGCCTTATTGCCATGTCTCAACACACATCTTTGTTCTCATCCTAGATCGAGAGGCTCTGCCTCCTCCTCTACTATCCACCTCCTCTCATCCTGTTTCCTGCAGGGGTGAACTCCTCCTCCCTGCCAACCTTCTGCCCATCAGGCCCTCTTGGCCCTTTTTTTCCCTGTCCAGTTGCTTTTGGTGCTGTCCACAGTGTGTTTCAGAATGGGTTAGTGACCGGGCCCCCTGGCTCACTGTGACCCACTTTGCAACACACAAACTGCCAGGGCACTTTCTGGTGGTGATGAGGACACCGATCACAATGACGACAGTGTGAGGATAACAGGCAGAATGTGTCTCCAAGGATGTTAATGGCCCAAGTGTCTATTTTGAGGCAGATTCCAGTAACAACAATGACACTAATAACAGGAAGGGTGGATGCTGGTTCTATGCTTCCAAAGTGCCCAGTGTTGTCCCAAGCGCAGTGGGAATCTCAGCACTTTGGACTCTGAGAAGGGCCGTGGAGAAGTTTCAGCTCTCCACTCTAAAGAATGGAAATGGTGCGTCTGTGGTTTGAGGACGCCCCCTGCCAGTGGGCAGGGCTGGGGCCTGAATTCAAGGCCTTTTCCCCATGGCCCTGCACGATCCCAGTTCCATGGCTCCAATACCACTCATGACCTGCGTTCCCGTCATGCCCACAGCTTGCCCAGCAGCTTCCACACGTGGGAACCTGCTGCAGGAAGCCTGCCTGTCTCTCAGATGACCTGGGCAAAGCCAGCCTGCACCTAGAGCTACAGCTGCAGCTGCGAGACGCTGAGTTTAACTGGCACCAGAGCAGTGCCAGCACAGACCCCAACAGGGCAGAGTGCCCGCCCCAGGCCTTACCATGTTGAATACGGCCATGGTCAGGATGATGGCTGTGGTGACGATGGTGAGGGAGATCCGTGGCCAGGGGCGGTTCGCGATGATGCCTGAGGACTTCAAGAGCCACATGAGAGAGGCGGAGGCTTTTTTGCTGCATTGCTGGAAAGAGAGAGAAAAAGAAAAGGCAATGCTTTGCCAGTGAGTGTGTCTTCTCGGGGTCAGGAGAGACAAGGATGACATTAGCAACCCAGAAGTGCCAACGCAGCTGTGAACCACATGCGTGGACGTTGCCCTTCCCTTTACCGAGCCACACACCTTCCTAGGATCTGTGGCCTCCTTGTGGCACCCTTAAGCACAGGATGAATTCCTATGCTGTGATGGTATGATGTTCAAGTAAGTCTCTTAAAATAGTCCTGGATTTATGGTGTTAAGTGATTCTTTTGGCAGAAGAACAATGTCCGTTCATGAAATCACTGGTTTGAACAGCAATTACAGCTTCAGCTGATTTATGGGGAAAACAGAACCAGCCACATCTCCCACCATTCTGATGCCACAGTTGCTGACCAGCAGGGCAGCAGCAGAGCCTGGTTCAGTTTGGTGCCTGAACCTGCAAAGACGATGTCCGAAGGCCCCAGGCGGGCGGTGGGAGGGCTTCGTAAGATCTCCCTCAGGAGGCGTTCCCCGCAGTGCTGGGCATGGGACTATAGCCTTCATTTTATTTTGAGGAAAGGTCTCAGTATTTTGCAATTTGCCAGGTAGGCCTAGAACTTGAGATCTTACCTCAGCCTACCAGAGTGGTGGGATTACAGGTGGGCACCACCACGCCTGGCCTCTAAATGTACAATATAAACTCTACCCTCAACATTATTCCAAGTGTATCATTCAGCCTATGGACTGTGTACACACTGTTGGGGTGGAATGTTTTCTTTTTTCAAAGTGATCTCTACGCACTGAACAAGAACTCCCCATCTCCCTGTCTTCCCACCCCAGACCCCACACTTCTCCTTCCTGTTTCCATGATGTTGACCCCAGTAATCCCTCATGTAAGTGGATTCGGGCAGGACTGTCCTTTCCTGACTGGCTACTTCACTCAGCATGATGTCCGCAAAGGTCACCCCAGTTTGTACAGGATAAATTTCTTTTTAAGGTTAGCAAAGTCCTGCTATAGGTATAGGTACACTTGGTTTATCCATTCACTGATGAAGGACCCATGGGGTTGTTTCATTTCTTGGCTTTGCTGAACAATTCTGCTGTGAGCATGGCTGTTGGGAAAGCTCTCTTGGTACCACAAGGAACCGAGGTCATTAGGGAATGACACCAGGTTCCCTCACTGGGGAGCAGACACAGGTCCGTGGCTCTGACTGAGTGACCTGAGGCCTGGGACGGCGCCACTGTAATTCCCACCTCAGTCTAGAGATGCAGGTACACACACTGTCACTGAGGTCTGGGAGTCACAGGCATGATGCTATCTGATGTGACATGCAGCACATACGTAAGAGCATCTCAGGAATCTGAATTTTAACTTTTATGCTAATCAGGCTGTGGCCCCAAGACTTGGTGTTCTAGAAGCATAGGAAAGTGATGACTGATGACTCAGAGGGGAAAGCAAGGAGTGGTGCCCTTAGATCTGTGCAGCTGTTGTGCTAGGTTAATCTAATGGCAGATTTGATGTGTCACCAACAAAATCCAATAGAAAGGACCCCTGAGTGATGCTAGGGGGCACCCCGTTTCTCCAGCCCTTTCACATTTTCTCTCTGGTTCTTCTGAAAGATGATGCTGACATAGCACCACAATACATTAAGTGTCAACCCAACAAGCAAATGCTCATTCTTAATACAGGAAGAGAGGTGGCTCAAAGGGTAGAAGCTCAGTCACCAGCCCTCACAGCTGTGGGACTTTCTGCAAAGTTATTTACCCTCCCTTGCCTCAGTTTTTCCATGTCTAAAATGGGCAGCACAGCAGTACCTGCCTCTTTGGTTTTTTCAGAGGCTTACAGAGTGGCCCAGGGCACAATGTCTGAGTGTGAGCCCTGCATGTATTTTCATTGACGAAAACACGGTATTTCTCAGAAATATTTTAGGGACTAAAAAGTAATTTGCTTTATATCTCTTTGGATCACAGCAACAAAAACCCTTTATCTCCTCCTTCCCACTTTGTCCCCTCGAAGATACTGATGTAGAAGGCGAAGGGTGTTTGTCTACAGCATATAGCCCAACTTGTGTGCAAGCCGAGATTCAGGTGTGTTGCTGGGGAGATTTTCCTGGCTCTTCCTTGGTTCTTCTGTGAGCCTGTCCAGGCTTGAGCCAGCTCTGCACAGAGAGCTGGGGCTGCAGGATTGGAGCAGGTAGTGCAGGAAGAACACTCGGCCGGGGGCTGCAGGGCACTTCTCACAGCCAACCAGGGGGCCAGCTCTGTGCTTCACACTTCTATCCAAGTGCAGAGTTTTAATGAGGCTTGGAGTGGCCTTAAACCTGTCAAATGGTAGCAGGCCCCCTAGTGCTGAGCATAGAGGAGCTCAGAAAGCCAGACGGCCAGCAGACGTGCCCTGGCTTGCGCATCACTGCTGGGGGAAGGAGAGTGTCGCAGTGAGGGAGGCCCTTGTGAAGCTCTGGGGCCCTTGAGGAGTCACAGTCCAGCTCTCTGCCATCTGCAGGCCCAGGACAGCCTGTCCTCTCCCTGTGTGCATGAAGAGCCCACCTTCTGGTTCTAGAGCTCAGATTCTGCTGCAGGACACTCCTCGACCAACCCTGCAGACCAGTGCCTCTAAATGAGCTTTCTCTGTGTCTGTCCCTTGGGGGGTTCCCTTTGCACCTGTCATTAAGGTCACGAACACACTCAGCAAGCATTGATCGGGTTCCTCCTGCCTCACATGACCTGGTGTGATCACTGTGTGTGTGGCTGATGTGAGCTGTCAGCTGAGCCAGCCCCACATGGACAGTGCCCTGGTCTCCTGCAGCAGAGCCCTGAGCAAGGGATGGGACTCACACTGGGCATGAGAGAGGAGGGCTGATTCCACACAATATGATTGATTGAAATAAAGAAATCTCCCTGTAGGAAACTCAAGTGCAATTAGATAATGGGCTTGTGAATGTACATATGGACGTTCCCAGGACATTAATATTATGTGTAATTATGGTTTCACGTGTTCCTGTTGCTCGGAACAAAGGTCTTCAGTGAATTACAGTGTCAAACAGATACTTCTTTGGGCAAATATTCAAAAACACATGATTTAATAGAAAACTTGACCACCGTGTTTTTCAGACAAGATTTTAATATAAGTTTTGCTTTCCTAGTAATAATTTCTTACTCAGCTATTCTGATGTGCTTATGGCTTTTCTGAGCTTTAAAACATTGTATTAATTAAATTTCACCTAATATGCACATCTTTTTTTAAATGGTACATTACTGTATATTTAAAATGTGTACCAATGAAACTGCAAATGCACTGTACCTTTGTAAATATTAAGTTAAATTCTAAGGAATTAATTTTGTAGCTCAAGGTTACCCATTGCTTCCAATGCAAGATATTCACACTAAGACAGGGAGAAGTGAAGTAGAGGGGAAGGGGATTTTCAGTAGGTTTTTCTTTTTAAAAAACCTAAACAAAGTATCTAAGGATTTGATTTTCCTGTGGAAGATCTGTGTGAGATTAAAAACTTTAATATCCAGATCCCTCCCTTCCTGTTCTGCTCGTCCTCCCAGCACCAACTCTGGGACAGTGTCTGCCCACGGACGTGTGTTCTTTCTTCCTCTGTATCCCCTGTCCTCTCAGCACCAGCCCTGTGCTTGCTGGGGGTGGGTGTGGCACTGCCAGCAACCAGCCCTTCTGACTCCTAGAGGAAGGCACAGTGTTCAGGAGGAGCAGGGAGCAAAGAGGTCCCTCACGACAAGAATTAGGACAAGAATGAATAATTCAGACAGCGCAAGTTCAGAAAAAAATAGCGTGAGTGATTTCATGGGATCCTCATGCTTAGAAGAGGGTCCCCACAGTGTTCCCACAGACGCAGATACTAAGGGGTCTGTTAATCATCTGCACAGGTTACAGGGTGAAGGCAGTAACAAAACCAAAACCACCGATCAGACTAGAATACAAAACTTCCAAGTTCCTTGACAGAATAAAAGAGGATAAATTGCTTTGGTAAAGAGAAGGCCAAAGAAGAGAAAGGAATAAATAAAAGGAAAGAGATACATGAGGAATTAACACACACACACATTCCCTGTCTCTCTCTCTGTCTCTCTCTCTGTCTCTCTCTCTGTCTCTCTCTGTCTCTCTCTCTCTCTCTCTCTCTGTCTCTCTCTCTCTCTCACACACACACACACACACACACACACACACACATACACACACAGGGGCAGTGACAGCGGCTATAATACATGGGAAGGTATCACAGCAGTTAAGTCAAAGAGGGAGATTGTCAGATGACAGACACTCACAGGCAGCCACACGTTTTCCAGTGGAGACGCCCCCAAGCCTGCGCACAAATAAGGGCGGCTGAGCACACAGAGATGGCAAAAGGGACAGCAGCAAACCCAACTGAAAGAGGCCGCAGTATTGTGTTCACAGTGGAGGAAACAGACTTCGAGGGAACAGCTCTCCCAGGGGGTGGAAAGCTCTCCTTGTGGCTGGTGTGTGACCTACTTTTCCTTTTCCAGGCTGACCTCTGAATCGGTGCTTTCATCCGCCTGGAATGAGGCAGGGCTGGGGGTGGCGCCGTATTACCTCTGCCATATAAAGCACAAGGTAGCAACAGTGGGAAAGATGCTTTTTGTGACATCTTCTAGCATCTTCATTTGCTGTGTCTGGTGTACTTATTCTAGAGGAAATTTTTTGTAGTAGTGTTTTTGGTTAGAATCACTCTCATATTTGGCATAGAGATATGCATTCATCTCAGGTAATTTAGGAACTTAAATCCAAAGTAATCATGCACTTACTACAATTTCTATGATGCCAACTACCTACAGTTGTTCTTTGATCACTAATTGCAATGAAAATGTGAACCCAAATCTTTTCAGTTTGTTTCTACCTGGATAAAAAGCATTGTTTATCAAACAAACACCTCTCTAAACTTAATGCACATAAAAATATTTTGCGAAGTATTGTTATTCTTAAAAATCTTTTTTGAAGTCCAAGTGCAATTATAAACAAATCGTTCTATTTTATTAAATGGCTTTTAAACTGGAGATATGGTTTTCAGTGATGTGGCCCAAGAGCTGAGTAATGCACTCAGGGAAGCACAGCAGAGGTGATACGAAAAGCTGGTTCCTGGGCTAACCTTGATTCCCCATTGTGATCTGGGTTAGTTGGTGCTCAGCAGTCATCATAGAGTGACTTCTGTGCTATGCAGCCCTCTGCTGGGGCTCTGTAACCCTCCTGACCCTGGGAACCTGTCTTCAGTGTTTCAAGTTTTGGTTCCAATTCTCAGTCTCACACCTATTTGCTGGTCACAGCTGGGCAAGGGAAGGAGCACCCGTAGGTCTCCAGGTCATGAAGCAAAGAAAAGACACTCTCTCCGGGAGCCACTTATGCTAAGTGTCTGTCAGGGTCAGGAGACCTTTTTAGCATGACATGTATTAATTGTAAAATGCAATTGAGGTGGAGTTGGGACCACTCCTGGGGACTCTGACCCCCTGCAGCACTTTGGATTCATTATGATGCTTCTAATACCAGGGCAGAAAGCTTTCTCAGGGGGCACAGTTATGACCTCCATGGTTCTGCTCCAAAGTGTCCATTTCTTCCTTAGGAGACCTGGTTATGACCTTACACATTATTCTTCATGAGAGCGGCTTTATTCTGGAGGACTGGAAGGGGAAACTCAGGAAGGGCACGGAGTCCTGGTCCCTCATCCAAAAACTGAGCTGTTGGACAAGGGAACCTACCACTGATTTCCTTTCTGCTCTTCAGCTTTCCAGTTGCAAACTGCTAATCCACATCAGAGAGAAAGCAAAGCCCTGCAGAGGGCACCTGGAGAAGAGTGAGCTAGGGAGAAGAAGGGAGACCTGCTGCTCGAGGACACCAGGAGCCCAGGAGGCCAGGAGGCCAGGAGGCCAGGAGCCTGGTGCTGAGTGAGATGCAGCCATCCTGAGTTGTGCAAAACTTCAAGCTCAGAAAGGGTCCGATCTGGTTGAGAATCAGGCTGGGATGTTTTCTGAGCAGTGTGCCAGGAGGCTGAATTTAGGTGTCGCCTGGAGTTTCCTGACATTAACTGTCTGTTCTGTCTCTCTAGTTCCCCAAGTATCACAATGAACAAAGTAAAGCTGAGATGAATCTGTGGCAGACCTCCTCCATCCACCAGGGGAAGATTCAAAATGGGAAGTCCGGCTGCCAGAAGGAGGGAAGCCGGTGGAGGAAGAGCTGGGCTCTTTGGAGTCAGCCCGAGAAGGTGAGCAGACTCTTCCCACCTGAGGGTAGCCCCAAGCTGTCAGAATTGAGGAATTCGGTGAACAGTGAGTCATTTCAACGCAGCCAGCCACAGGCTCCATTCCCTCGCTCATTCACGCATTCATTCGCACATGGACTCTCTCTCCCCATGTGGAACATCTGCAGAAAGCATGACCTCAGTGCTGGCTGGGGCATGTCTCACTCTGGGCATCTGAGAAATGGGGGAGAAGCTCCATGGAGCCTGGGACAAGGCAGATGCAAAAGCAAAGCCTGTAAGCTAAGCCAGAAGTCGGGCTGCACCTGCTTATCAAACACATGCGTGTGGACAGTACTGCTGGGCCCCGCGGAGGGTAGAAAGTGAGCTGAGAAACGATCTTCATCTTAGGAGCTTACCACACATGAAGGAAAACAACAGAAAGGAATTAGAAATAAAGTGAGGTGCATAAATGGAGGCTGAGATACGTGGCCCCGATCCTGCCTCACTAGTGAAGAGCCCATCACAATGGCTAGAGTGGATTTCCCTGGAATTCTGAGAAAGCAACCAGCTACCAAGCCCACTCCTAGGCAAGAACTGAGAAATGGGCGCCTCTGCCAGAGAGAGGAGCGCTCTTGGGGAAGTCGCAGGGTTGGGGACCAGGCTTCTCATATCATAGCAATAGTGACTAACCGAAATTTCCTGGCATAATTTTAGACTGTGTTTCTGATCAAATATCTATGATTTCCTAGCAACAGGAAAAAAAATCACATTTTATTACCTTGTTTGTTTTTTGTTCATTTGGCTGTTTTTCTACCTTTTTATCAAACCCAGCTATAAGTAACCAACAGATTTCTTTTATTAGTGCATGTGTGTGACACGCGGTGATTACCCTCAGCTTGGGTGGTGGCACAGACACGCATCGCATCTGGATTGTTCTGCCTTCTCCATCTCTCTGCCCTCTCCTCCCTCTCCTTTCCCTGATTCCTTCCCTTCTGTCCCAAGACTGCTTCATCCCATCACTGTTTCAATGTGATTTCCTTGTGTGGCTCTTTTTGAGTAGCAATGACAAGGTCAAAGGTCTGTGAATAAAAGTATCAGCCAGGCTCCCCTTTCTAGGAGCGGCTTCCTCTCATGCTTCCCACAGAGAGTTTAATACCAGTGTTACTCAAATCTATACAGCCTCTGACATTTAGATTTTCACCAGGGGAACAACACACACTAGTAGAAGGAAAGTCTGGAATATTAAACATTCTTGCACAAGCTTAGTATTTAATTCATAAATAAATGCCAGTCATGGTTACACATAATACAATTGCTAGGTTTTCAAGAGGCCAGAAAATGAGCAGGAAGGGCCTAGCTATATTTACAGTCACTGTGGAGTACTCATGAAATAAATTTTTTTTGTATGAGGGATTAAACTCAGGACTTGCAAATTAGGTGCTTATGCCACTGAGCTAAATCCCCAGCCAAAATAAGTGTTTTTTGACTAAATTTGGAAGATAGAGTCTAAAGGACAGCTAACTCTTATTAATCCAGCTGTTTATTAATAGCTGGACGTTCAGTTTAAAAATCCATTTCAAACGGTTTAAGCACCAAATAGAACCATTACTGGGATGACTGTTTTTCTGGAATTTCGTAATGATTACATCTAGACAAGGAAGTCCAGCTGGCCACTGGGGGGAGACTCATTCTCAGATTGGAGTGACTCAGATCCAAAACACAGAACTCTGACTTCAATCCCTTGGCTGATGGCACCATCCAGGCTTTCTGGGAGAAGGGAAATGGTACCTGCATGTTTGTAGCCTTGACATTTTCTCTCTGAGACACCAGCGAGTCAAAAAGAGCTTCCTAGCAGGTGATTGGTTGCCCAGGTCCCAGGAAGCCGCCAGGAAGGGAGGCCTGAGAAGCCAAGGGTGCCATCTTGATAGCCTTAGCGACTATGGCTGAGCACAGGAAGGACCAAGAGTTGTGAAAGGTGCAACAGAGAGACTGGCATTCCCCTGGTCTGCAAGGGGGGACCCTGAAAGGAGCAAAGCAACCCTCCAAACATGGTAAGGCTGTTCACAGAATTCTTGTTGGCGCTTCTAGCCCTGGACTTCTATTCACTACTAATTTAGATGGTGGAAAAAAGAAAACCACAAACTCTAAACGTACACCACGCTCCACATGCACATGACTGTGTGCTTTGGAACAGAAAATGAAAAACATGCTTACTTGGGCACAAGAGTGTAAACTTCTTTAATTAGAACAAGGTTGGGTTATCCAACGGACCCACAATAAAAGCCTGAGAACTGAGCTGCAGAAGACTTGGAGGAGAAGGGGAGGGCCAGGGAAGGCATGTGCTTTTCTGCCTGAGGGAAAGGCTCTGGGGACACGGGAAGCCGGGCATCTCTGCCTATGAGGCACTGTAGAACTGTGACAAGGATCCCCATCACAGTAGGTCACTATGCACCTTGATTCCCCTCTCTTCCACCTGCACTGTCTTCAAGGAGATTTCCAGAGCCTCCATATACTGTGTGTTCATTCCAGTGAGTCAGAAACCATAGACCCATTTTGAGAAGAGATTTCAGTGCAGTTTGAATCACCTAAACCATCAGATAGCAAACAGGATCTTGAAAGTTTGCAAGGCCTGGCAGGCAAAGCCAGAAGCATGGTCCGGCATCTTTACCCCCTTTTGGCGGGAAGGATGTCAGCCCATCAGACTGGCATGCGATGTGATCTCCAGGATTATTGCTAGTCACAGGTTTGTTTGAAGTGGAACAAGGACTTTAAGAAGCCTTATGACACTGTACCAACACGGCCACAGGTAACACCAAAAAACCAAAATAACAATACGAAGCATAGATGACATAATGAGTGACCTCCCAGGAGAGAAAAGCCCCAGTGGGGGGGTACAGTGAGGCCTCAGATGGTCACGAGACTGCAAGCTGCGGGCTGTCTTTGCTCTGTCTAAAAGTCAAAGGGTAATTGAGCTAATAAATCATGATTTTGAAAATATGAACACATCTATAAGTCTTTCTTGTTTTAACTCATCTTCAATGAAATCCTGACTTATCTTGGCATCTTACAGTGCTTGCTGACTTTCTTAGGATGGATCTTATACAGATATGGACAACTAGCTACAAAATAAACCTTATATTCTCATATGTGGAACTGGCATTTAAATCATAAGTCTACCATGGTTGGCTTAAATTAAAACCCTAGTGAAAGATATTTTAATATTTGCTATCTTGAAACATTCTAAAATTTTATATCTTAAAAGAGGATGCAAATCACATTTTTGGTTTTAATTTTGATGTATACATGCAAATCTTCTTATAATATACCCACAGCTACAACTACTCAGAAAACCTAAAAGAGGTGATAAAAATGTCGATAGAAATATGTATGTAAAACCATGGTTTTATGACGTGACACCACCACATTGAACAGTCTTCAGGTTGGCATCTTGGCAGACTGTGAGGTAGGTACCCCTGTTTACAGCCTGGTCTGCTGGCCTGAAGCGTGTCTACTTCCTGGTTGCAAAGGAGCTCTCAGAAGCTAACTGAACAACCTAACTGCTTCTGAAGGTTTTGAGCAAGAAATTCATTTTTATGAGACAAACACACCTTTCAAAGGAGTCCCGTATCTGAAGTACCTACCAAAAGCTGTCCAGCAAAGCAGACGAAAAGGATGAAGGCCAGCGAGAGGAACGCAGCTCCAAAGGAAATGCCGAGGATGGACGTTCTGCCAGGAAATAAAAGGCCACATGTTAGGGTGACGGCCACGCCTATGTTCTGGAGAGCTCCAGCACGACTCTGGCTCCACACACTAGGGCTTACACAAATGGGCACTGCAAACGTCCCTGATCACTGTGAGGAATGAAAATGGACCTCAACCTAAAGAACCATTTGCCCGTAGTGTGTCTATGCTGTTGTCATGGTTGATCGCTTGCTGTAACTGTAGATACTGTACTAAAAGCATTAGTGCTTTATGAAAGAAAACTTTGTGAGTAGCTGATCTATGGGCTTGGCACTGTCATGCTTGACTTGGCCATGTCTTCCACTTGGTGACCTCTTTCCAGCCATGGGTGTTGTGGCAGCTGCTGCTGAGGAGGGGCCTCACCACGATGGCATGGGAAATATCACGCACCCCCTTTGTTCCTATGGGCCCGGAAGCACTGAGTCCCCGCCTTCCCAGTCCACCCAGCCAGATTGTTTCTCCAGGACAGATGCAGTTGAATGTTTACTGTGGCTCCTCTAAGACTCCACAGAGCATCCCTTTTCTGTGCTCCAGCAGCCAAGGGACACGAAAGCATCCCGTGAACACACGAAAAACACTGGTAAGAAGTAAAGTTCTACCACCGGCAAGCCACAGCACCATTTAAACAACCATACAGATTTCTGAGTGTCCCTTTAAATAATTAAAATCCTTTTTCAACTTCATTTAATGCAAGAATAGAAGGCTGAGAAATACCAGGGACCAGCAAATGACCCAAGGTGAACTTCAAACTGGAACATCCGGGGAGAGGTCCGGTGGGGTCTGGGACCACAGGCGAAGTGCCTGCCAAGTAGACTGGCCAGAGACAGTGAAGGGGCAGATATGCTGTGGGGAGCAGGTGGGTACCCTCAAAGCCCAGTGGAGTGCAAGCACCAGGCGCCAATCGGCAACAGGCTGAAATCATCTGCAAGGACACAGCTGTGAGCCTCGGAGAACGAGAAATGAGGCAAGCGATCTGTACAGAGAGGAAGCCCCAGAGCCATGACTACGGGAAGGCTTTTACCTCACTACCCCAGATACCTCCTCTATTACAAGAAATCACCGCAGTGGACCTGCTACAAGCAAGACCAACAGGAACTAGAGCTCAAAGCAACACTGGAGCCTGACCCGGTGACGTATCAGGTACTGAGTCACAGCCTGCAGATGCTATCCCTGCCTACAGGTTCGACAGTCTACCCTAGGAGTGCATCATATGCCTCCTAACTCACTGGCAAACCTCCTCTCAGAATTCACTCTTCGCTCTGACTCCCTGGTCAGAAGTCAGTAGCCTGTGCTTGAGACCCCCTGACTGCCACACACCCTTTCAGAGCGTGCTGCTTGTGGAGACCCGGTACAGCGGAGGGGGCATCTCAGTCTGCCTCTCAGGGCCACGAGGACTCCTGCTATTCCCGTGAACAGAAGCAGATACAATGATCCGTGTGCTGAGCTTTGGTCTGACAAAAGCTCCTCCACCTTTACATGGGATGTCTGACAGATTTTCTTGGACTCTATAGTCTCCTAATTCTTTCTCAAAGTCCAGGGAATGCTGCCCTCATAAAGCTGAGTTCAGAAGCATTAGATCTTTGTCTCAGGTCTGGGATTGTTCATTGGGTTATCTCCTCTTGGTAGTTTAATAAAACTCAATTATAAAAACTCCGATGATAAATGTGATGGTGAAGATGCCGATGGTGATAATCTGGAGTTGATCACTACCTTTACTGATGTCCACGACAGCTGCTGTTCGGAGAGTCCTCTACGCTTTCTTTATCCCCAAAATAATCCTGTACAGTAGTTGCTATTCTTTCATTTTTACAAAGAAAAGACGAGGACCAGAGGAGCTGGAAAACTTGTCTGAAATGGTATCTCTACTAAGAGTGTGCTCAGGGTTTATGTCCCTGAAGTCGTGCTCCTGATCTAGCTTCTGTTCTAGGAGCAGACGTCATAATTCTGCCATGTTTCCTGGTTCTATTTCTTGAATCAGTTTAGATAGTGTTCCTGGAAAAATGTAGTTTCACCTAGATTTTCAAATGGAAAGTATTTGGTGTAATAGTCTCTTAAAATTTAAAAGACTCCATATTTGATTTTGTTTTGTGCTTAATATTTTATTAGTGTATGTTTACATTGTAAAATAGAAATGTTTGTTTGGGGGAATTAATACAAATGTGTAACATATTGATCATTTTTCCTGATCATTTTTCATCCTTCCTATCCCATTTCTTGCCTCTCTCTAATCCCCTTCTCCACCTCCAAAATTCTGTCTTCTTTTTTCTATCTCTCCATGCTACTCACTTATTTATATTTTAGGTTTCTAACAAAACATAAACCACATGATGCTTAGCTTTCTGTGTCTGACCTATTTTATTCAATATCTTGCTTTCTTTAGATCAGTCTTTTGAAGTTTTACATATTTTATTCTTAAACCATGAGTTTTTGATCCATTATTAAAGACTATGCTTTCTGTTGTGTTCTACATTACTTTCTGATTCAACTTTGAATACTCATCTCTTCTTTATGGAAACATATTTTTCCTTTTCTATTGTCACTCACAGCCAATCTTTTGTGTTTCCTACTGCATGCACTCAAGGACAAAAATATTACAACAAATACCATGGAGCCAAACCGCAGTTTCTGATGGCGACAGCTCCTCATGGTCACTCTTTCCAAAATGCCTGCAATTTTGAGTTTTGTTTTTTCTTAACACAAAAGTAATTCTTAAACCTCACTTCCGGTTTTACAAGATTATTTTTGGTTGGCCTCGTCATTTCTAATTTCATTTGACCTGACCAGAGATCGTAATGGTTGTAGCTTCATTATTTCACTTTGACAATTTTTTTTTCTTCTTGAGTGTCATAAGTACACTGTACTTTTATGTCACTTGGAGATGTATACACATCTATCTTTTTGCTGACAACAAAGTGCGGTCTCAAAATACATACATGAGGGCCAGAGATTTAACTCAGCAGCATAAGAGTCTGCTTGGCAAGTGCGAGGCCATGAGTTCAATCCTCAGTACCATAAAAACAAAACAAAACAAAGCAAAACTATATCTATGGGAGCCAGATGAATGAATCAAAACCCTGAAAGGCTGACTTATTTGGTCTGTCACTGCTACAGTAAGCATTATCATTTCCAACTAGTGCTGTCAGTTTGCCAATATAGTTGAATATTTTTAATAATTTCTGCTTTATTTATTTCAAAGAGATGATGGAATGCATAACCATGTATGATTGTTAAAATTGCTTGGAGACTTCAGCATTAATAATAAAATATGTTTTTCATGCTGGATGCCTTTCATTTGAATTCTGTGTTACCAGAAATTTGCATTATGGTAAGTTTATTTTTTTCTGTAAGCTGTTCTCCATCTTCTATTTCCAACCTTTCTTTGTTTTTCTATTATGGCTAGATTTCTTATACATAGTGCAGGTGTACTATGTACACCTGCCTCTTTTAGCCTCTTTCCATGAGTAGGGAGGGTATTTTTGTCTATTAACAATTATAAAATTCATTTATATTTGACCACTTCCTTTGCTGATACGAACTGGGCTGTTATTGTTGGAGGAGCTCAGGTCTTTGCTGTACCAGGCGATGGCTGCCGCTCTCTGCTGGGAGCTCTGGTTTTAGACTGCCTCTGGAGCATCGCTTCCTGTCTCCAGCGCAGATTCCTCAGCCTGATCCTTTTGCCCAGCTGGCACAGACTTTCTAGCTTCCACCACTGACTCTTGATAAGGACTAGTATGAGACATTGCCATGCGTTCTGGGTATTGCACAGATCTAGGGATCCAGGGCCATGGCTGGATTCTTTAGGTCTCTAGTGTGACAGATTTCTTGCACTCTTCTGGGTTTGACTTTTTGGGTGAATATTATAAGATAATCCTATAAATTTATGAATCCTGTATTAAAGCTATTCCTTTTCAAGCCCTGATTACAACAGTCGGAGGGATCCATAATGAATTCTCTTCCCCCCCTATTTGTTTGGATACTTTGTGGTTCTCTATGTCTGTCTGTCTGTCTGTTTGTCTCTCTTTTCATGATCAGTGCTGGTAGGGTTTTAGGGATCTTTAAACAATGCTTTAAAAAACAAAGTTTAGGTTTTAATTTTCTTTCTTCAATGTTTTCTATTTTGGTGATTTCTCCTTTTATCTTTAATATTTATTTTCTTCTGTTTGTCTCATTCTAATCTGATCATCTTTTTCAGGCTACCAAAATTGAAAATACTTGATTCTAACTTTTTATTCTGCTTTAACATAAGAAGTTTAAAGAAATTAATTTCTCTCTCAATTATTGCATTAATTATAAGCCACATATTTTAACATTCTTTTGTAATTTAAACATTTTAAAAATTCTATCATAATTTCTTGGCTTTGTTTGTCTTTTGCTACTGGGAATCGAACTCAGGACCTCACACCTGCCAGGCAGGCACTGTGCCGCTGAGTGAAATCCCCAGATCTCTCATGATTTCTTATGTGATCGTGAATTACTGTAATGAAAACACTAAAGTATTAGGTAATATTGTAGATATTATATTGTAATTATTTGATGTTGGTGTGTTTAAAAAGCAGACTGCAAGATTTATTTTTAAAAACTTATTTCAATCTTTTCAAAGGCCACGAGGCACTTTTCTGACATAGATGGATTCTATCTTGGTCATTTGTCCATTTCCAGTTAAGACGATGTGTACTTTGCAGGTGGCTTTAGTGTTCTCTGTAGAATAATTAAGATGTTTATAATCCTTGTTGGACCTTCTAAAGCCTTATTCATATAGTAATGGTAGGAAAAACGGATTTAAATATCTAATGATGATGAAGTTTGCATAATTTTCTTTCTAGTTTATGAGCTACATTAAGTACATTTTGTGAATCTTTGATTTTTGAGCAGGTTATTCCATTACTAATTAATATCTTTCTCTCTGTTAGTTCTTTCGCCTTATGTTCAGCCTTCTGATATTAACACAGGTATAATCGTGGGTTTTGATGACTACTGTTTAGGTG